GATTATGTAAAAGGTGGTAATGGTATTTTGAGCCTCCTAAAAACCGGGACGGAGGCTGCTATGCAACTATGTCGGTTCCCCGTGATATATGACTATATATGATTAGGTATCCACAACTTTAGAACCTTGTGCATGTAACCGATCGATCAGCTTTCCCAAAGATTCACGAGTGCATTTTCCAATTAAAAATAAGTTTAATTACAATAACACCTTCTAAAGATTATTATATTTTTACAATTTTCTACGTTTGAGAAATAATTTTTAAAGAAAATTTTTATAGATAAATTGAAAAAATAGAAATAAAAAATCGCATTAAACATTAAAAAAAACAACAAATACAAAACTTGTGTTCAATCTGGGAGGTAAATTAAAAGGAAGGTCAATAAATTTTCAACCAAATGAAATTGGCACCGAGGAATCTCATTAAATTAAGTTTTTTTTTTTTTTTCTTGAATTTATTTCCAATTCTTTGTAGCCGCCTACTGATCGCATGCATTTGGAAGAAATTAGGAAGGATAAAAAATGGATAGGACTATACTCTTTATGCCTACATGCTTTTATTTATTTATTTATTTACCAACAATACCAATAATAGATTAAATTGTTAAAAGTTGGAAGGGAGGAAGATCGGTAAGCATTGAACTCGTACAGGAGTGCATAAGCATTATTATTTTCACCCACTGCAATAAAACATCATCTGATGCATACATGCATTATTATTTGGTACCACTGCATCTCCATTGCATTACGAAATTACTGACTTTTGAAGAAAGAAAAGCAAGGAAAAGAGTCCACATGCATTAGTGGTTAGTGCGAGGTGTATAAGAATGAGCAAGAATTAAGATAAATCCACATTCAAGGAGGGTTAGCTAATGGCTAGGTTTCAACTAACTTTGTCCTTACCTCATTGCCTGCAAAAATTGATCATAAAGCACATTCCTAAAAATTGGAAAATATTGCTGATTCCCTCCTAAATAGGAATTACATGAAAGTCAATCACAATATGATTTTATTCTTCTGTTTTATAGTAAGTTATTTATGCACACATATTAATTTGCGATTGACAACAAAGACAAGAACGTATGACTTTTTTCTTTCAGAAGCAATGCACCTAGAAAAATTAAATTTTCAAGAGCATCTCTTTAGCTAATGATGAACATATATAAGAATATGAGTATGACACGACAAAAAGAAAAAAAGAATATATATGAGTCTGAAAGTGATTGTTATAACCGGCTAATTCAAATTGGTGCGGAAAAGTCTTAAGAAACACAAATTACTGTCCTAATTTGTATGAAATCGGACTTGGTATGTAAACTTGTTTTTACCACATATAATTTGATAAGGAGACTGTTTTGGTGATCTATATGAATTCTAATAGGAGAATTATATGATTGTTTGTCTATATAAATAGTGGCAACTACTCTCACTAAAAAAAAAAAAAAAAAAAAAAAACCTAGCTCGTTATTGAACTTAAACTTATTGTATGTTGAACATATTGTTTCTGCAAGAATGGGAAAACTTACTATTGAAGTTGACTAGAAGTTCATCTTCTTTGTTGTTTTAAAAGTTAGATTACTCTTACAAAATAAGAACATATCCAATGCTCTCTTTGAATAAGCTCCCTATAAACCTTCGAGAAATCTTAAACTTGAAGAGATAAAAAAGATGGCCGATCTCCGAGTTACTCCTTATCATTATTTGAGTGTTTTAACATCAGTGAACTCATTATAAGTCTATGACTTACTATACCAGGAAGTATGGTTGGATTAAATTTTTAGAAAACTTCATTTTAATCCTTGGCAAAGATGACTTTTAGATTAAAACCATGAGTAAGATCAAAATCTCATTTTAGTCCCTTGATACATTAATAACCTCATTTATTAATTATATTTTGATTTTTTAATTATTTCTCTTCTTCTTCCTAATTTTTAATGTATTAATTTTATTTCATTTTCATTTTCATTTTCATTTCATTTATCGTCATATCTTTTGTTGTAAAATTTAGATAAACTAATTTTTGTTATACAATATATTTCAATGTACTTTGTCTTCTTTATTTAAATACATTAAATTCATTATAATACATTTCAGTGCATAGATTTAGATAAACATTTTGATATAAACATTTAGGTACATTAATTCAATATAATACATTTCGGTGCATACATTTCGGTACACATATTTAGATACATTAATTTAATATGATACATTTTGGTACTAACATTTAAATACATTAGTTCGATATAATACATTTCGGTACTAACATTTAGGTACATTAATTGAGTCCTTCAAGTTTGAAGAATGTTAAATAAAATTAATAAATTAAAAAACTCTTTCTTGGTAAAAAATAAAATTTCAAATTTGTATATTAATAAATTTAAATATTTAATGGGAGACATTAAATAAAATGCACATTAATTATTTTGAATTAAGGGCACATCAAGTGATTATAATCAATATGTAATCTAACATCAAGTTTATTTTAAATTTCAATTTTCTTGAAGGATTAAAGTTAAAAAACCCCTTAAATTTTTATATAAAGCTCCCGAGATAATTTTCTAGTATTTTTCATGAACGTTTAACTTTGAATTAGAGAATATGATTTGAGATGTTCTCTTAATAGATAATTTTTTTTATTAGCACTACGAAGTAATCATCATATACTCCGCACTCCTTATTTTCACTAGAGATGAGTATGACAACTTTATTAGATCAATAGTAGCAATTAATAAATATGAAAGTATATAGACATAAAATCGATAAGATATTTTGGTGTTATAATCAAACTATTGCGTAGTTTTATCAACTAGTGTTTGAATACAAGTGACATTGAAATACTACGCGGAATGATGCTTACACCTAAAAACTCACTCATAAAAAACAAATTAGTGTTATTATATGAATGATTTGATAATAGCATGTTGATTGTTGCGATATGACACAAATAGAAATTCTTGTAAAACCGAATCAAACCATTTTAAGATAAAATTTAAACCGTAAGAAAAATAGCCGAATCATTACAATATTAGTTAAGAACATTTATGGTAAGACTTTCTATACCTCTTGAAAATATGCGACAACTTGTAATTTAAAATTTTAAACCTGATAGATTTTTGGTAAAAGAAAATAAAAAAGTTGAAAATAAACCCATAAAATTGGAGTTGCGTGTGGCGTGGTGTTCGGACGCAGGTGTCGGCAGTGTCAACGTAAACTAATCCAACTAGGACGTCCGGGTCCTGCCTCATAGGATAAGCATCATATTTTAATTTCATAAACAAAAAATAAATAAATAAAAAAAGAAAACTAATGAAAAAGGTTTGAAAACTTTGAGTTTTAATGATAAAGATAAAATGAATAGTATCAGAATTGACTTTTTAGTGTAAAAATGTAATTTTTCGTTAAAGTGAACGAAAATTTCCTTAAAAAAAGGACAAATATTAAAAAAATAATTAAATACTAATTTGAGTGTGTAAATCGTGAGCAAGAGACCGCTCCAAAACCGTTGGCGAATAGGTCACGTATTTTGCAGGGCGCCCACAGTCCCGTACAAAACCGGAAACCGACACCCTGTTTTTTCTCCCCTCACCCGGTTTTCCCCGAAACCAGTACGACCTCCCGAAAACCGGGAGCTCTTTTCTGTGCTTTTGTACTCCTGTTTTTTTTAATTAATTAATTAATTAAGGACCCCACATCACTGATATGTGGCGATTCGACCGCACTCTGACACCTCAACGTGACTGCCACGCGCCGCTCTCTTTCCCCTCCCTGGTTTTGTCCTATCTGCATGCCTATCCACCCTTTTCCCCCACTTGTATCTGCCTTCGGAGCCTCTGTTGTCGATTTACCATCTTACCCTCGCCATTGCAATTGTAATTTTTTTGAATTCATACACAAGTTCCTTGTAATATAGAGCAATTCAAACTCAAGATTTTTGAATATGAAAAGTGACTTGATTTTTCAAATGCTTTGTTCGGAAATACTTTTAAAATTACTAAAAGTGTTTTTAAAGAAATTGATATTGGTTTCAAAACACTTAAGCACCTTACAGGAAGCACTTCAACATTTCTGAAATTCATTTGGATTTTTACTAAGGACTTATGATTTGTTTAAAAAATATTTTCACCAAAAATACTTTCAATCATTTCAAAACCATTTCCAAACGCCTTAAATTTATAATTCCCTATTTATAAAAGGGTATCGAGTTGATATTTAAATTAAACTTCATCATGCACAACACATCGAATTCACTATTTATATAAATTGAATATTAAATTTTTTGTTTATTATCTAAGAAAAATATATAATACTAATGCATCCATGATGTTTTGTTTAATTCATGATTTTCTAAAAAAAAAAAAAAATTACTTCAAAATCTTGAATAAAAAATAAAATGGTTTTCCCAACTTTTTGAAACTCATCCTATCAAAAGGGTGAATCCCCAACCCCAATGGAAACAGGCAAGGGGCTCCCACTAATTGGGAGTACGTTTCACGCACTGAAAACGAGAGTCGTGGATGAAATTAGTACAATGGATTAAACAATAATAAAAGGATTAAAATATAATAAACTTTGTAGATTGCTTAGAATTCTGTTGGTAAAATTTTAAATGCTTTTTTAAGTTAATCGACAATTTACTAAACACTAATTCTAAAAATATTTTTATCAAAATACGTTTAATTACTTTTAAACGAGGGCTTACTTGAAAGTACAGGAGAGAGAGAGATGAAGGGGACCCTCCTTGAACGTGGAAACCAGTGTCTTGCTTTGCACACAAGAAAAATTGATAAAACAGCTGCGTCCCCGCAAGCCAGTGGGCAGAGAGAGAAAAAGAGTAAACCCAGCAGCTCAACCCGTAAACCCAACCACGCACCCCACTTAAATACCCACCACCCTCTCCCATTTCTTCTCCAAAATCCTGAAACCCAAAACCATCACCTCCTCTCTCTAAAATTCCCAACTTTCTCTCTCTAAAAACCCAGAAAAACCCATCTCTCCGTTTTGAAGAAAAACAAGAAAGCGAAAATGCGGATGAGCTGTAATGGATGCCGAATACTCCGAAAGGGCTGCAGCGAAAATTGCAGCATCCGGCCTTGCCTGCAGTGGATTAAGAGCCCGGAAGCCCAAGCAAACGCCACCGTTTTCCTCGCCAAGTTCTACGGCCGCGCCGGACTCATGAACCTCGTCAACGCCGGCCCCGAACATCTCCGCCCTGGTCAGTTCTCTTTTTCTTTTGCTTTTTCCCGGTTGCATGTATTTTCCGACATTTTGTTTTTCCCGAGAAACAAGCAGAAGACTTGGGACTAATAGTTTTTGGTTTTGGATTTACAGCCATCTTTCGGTCTTTGCTATACGAGGCATGCGGTCGGATTGTGAACCCGATTTACGGGTCGGTCGGGTTGTTGTGGTCCGGGAGCTGGCAGCTCTGCCAAGCCGCCGTTGAAGCCGTGCTGAAAGGCCAGTCGATTACGCCGATTACTTCCGAAGCGGCGGCGGATGGGCATGGCCCGCCTCTCAAGGCCTACGACATTCGCCACGTGTCCAAGGATGAGAACTCGGCCGCGTCCAACGATCCTCAGAAGGTTAAGACTCGGTACCGGTTCAAGCGGTCCGTTGTCAAGCCGAAGACCAACAAAGTAGACTCCGGTTCTGGGTCGGGCTGTGGCTGTGGCTCAGGAGCTGATGACTCGGCCAAGCCGAGTTCTACCGGTTGCTGTGGGAACGAGTTTAACCGATCGACGAGTCACGAGTCGTCGCTGAGTCACCAGTCCGAGGCGGCTGCCAACGTGGACGGTGACAGCAAGGAATCGGAGAGCATGATTTCGTCCGAGACGGCTGAGGCTGAGCTCTTTTCCCGAGCCGAGCCCGAGCCGGCTCGCAAGCGGAGGGAGCCGGTTCAGGATGGGGAGCTGGCCTTAGAACTGACGCTTGGGTTGGAGCCGCCATCACGGGGCCACCACGTCGTTCCGGTGAAGAAGAGAAGAATTGAGGCTGAATTCGGCGGATCATCACCGGCCGACGACGGCGCGTGTAAAATGGAGCTTGGGCTCGATTACGTGGCCTGAGCGGTGGGGAACAAGTAAAAGTAAAAAATGGTTCAGTTTTGACGACTCAAATCGGCTCGTTTGTTTAGCTTTGAAGAGATCAAGACCTTGCTTTTGTTCAGAGTTGTTTTTAGTTTCGAAGTTTCGATTTTTGACTTTTTTACCCTTTGTGAAGGTGAGATCAGATGTACAAATGTGGTTGGAACCTTGAACGTGCATATACAAGATGGTAAATGAACAGAGGGACAAAAAATCAAAATCCTTTTTTTTTTTATTATTTTTATTTATTATTTAGATTTTACTGATAAAAGGATAATATTTAACTGAGAATTACGCCTTTATCCAGACAAGCCTATTACAAGCAATGTTTGAAATATTATCGGTAGATATTCTTCGATATTTAATTGATACGTGGATATACGAAAATTTATTGATATTAGCTTCAAATTAGAAGTTTTTCCAATAGATTGAAATTCAGATTTCATCTCTTTTTTATTTTATTTATATTTTTCTTTAATTTTAAAGATATTTTCACGAAAATATATTGAAGAAATTTCAAACCTTAGCCGCATGAGTAGTAGTGTAGTATTGTAAGGTACAAGGGGGCATTCTTGCTGTATACTCATCACTTTTAACGATGATAAATAGTATAGTAAGCATATGATGAGTGAAAATGCACTCAAAGTACAAGGTTGGTTCTTTGGACATGTGGCATTGCGCAAGCAAAGAGACTTTTGTCTGGCTTTGTGGGGTTGTTTTGCCAAAATCAAGGATAAGGATTATCTAGTTCCCCAATAAAACAAAAATTAAGGATAAGGATTACCTCAGAACGGACGCTTATCTTTTTCTTCTCTCCTTTTTATCTGTTATTAGTCAAATTTTGCAGGCTCCCTTATATGCTTCCCTTTCGAGTTATTTTGAGCGTTGATAGGAGAAAAATTTGTGACGTGGGATGCTAGTGTACTCGTTTTATACAAGTTCTTTTGATGCATTTATTCACCTGTTAGTTTAGTGTAATTCGGTCGATCTTTCTGTTAATGTCTATGAGGTGGTTGGGAAATTTATGAGGTGAGTTGGCATAGAAGTACTTGGACGGTGTGACTACAATACTCTAGAGCATAGAATATTTTGCAATTTAAAGCCTTAAATCCAAGTCAATGGCTTTTCAATTTCCTTTGACTACAGTGGATAGGGTCGTTTTTGAGAGATTTTGGGAGCTCTATGCCAAATTTGTAAAGTGGGCCTTTCTTAAGATAGTTTTAAGTATGAATAAAAGTATGATAATATATTGATACTAGAAAACTTTCACTTAAATTAAAACAAAGCCACTTAGTACTACGGTCTAATAATATTCCTCTTCACTTGGAAGTGAGAGATTTTAGGTTCAATTATCGTTAAAGACAAATTTGAACCACACTATTGTTAGCCCATTGTGAAGTTTAACCCACTCCCTCACCTCCTTAGTATATATAATATTCGTTTGTTCAAAAAAAAAAAAAACAAACAAACAAACTTTAGCACTCACTGATTGCATGTTTACAAGTGTCATTAATGATTAGTAAAAAGATCTACGAACATAACCTTCACTAAATAATCAAAATCAGTTTTATCTTAAACAATCAAACATGAAAAAAAAAAACTTCAAACCTCTAAGTTTTAAGTTTTACTTGAATATACAACGTTGTTATATAATAAAATTAAGAAACTTTCGTTTTTAAGGGTAGACACTCAAAATATCTCATTGTACTCCAAGTTTTTATATTTAGAAGGAAAAACAAATACTCTAATAAGGAGTGCACAATGCGGTTTTAAAGTGATAACAAAAGCAATTTTTAAAATATAGAACATTGTTACATGATGTTAGATGGCAAAAATTTAGGGGCCCCGTGCGACTGCACTTTTCGGTTCCCCTCAACTCCCCCTCTACAGTGGAAATGGCACTACGACATTCCACGGTGGATCGAAAAATCGAACGTGATACTAATAATACAAGTATCAAACTTCTACTGTGAGCTGCAAAATATGAGTGCTACTCTTATTTTTGAGTTTAATATATGGAACTTATGAGTGTAATGCATATACAATATAAGATAATTAAGAGAGATAAAAGAGATAATCAATCTAATATATAAAAAGTCATTTTATCAACTCGCACAACTGTGACAATATGAATTCAACTTACAGTGCCTAATCCACATATATAGGCATCGCACAATACGAATTCAACTTACCGTGTCTAATCCACATATAGGGGTCATACTTATTAAACTACCATGGAAGGCCTAAGTAGTGTAATTTTTGCAAGTTGTGAAGTGTTTTGTTGTGTGTGTGTTTGTGTTAATTATAACACTCCTTGAATTGTTTAATTTTGTAGTCTCCTATTTTGTTTGCCTTTTGGGTTTGCTTTCGATTAAGTGGCATACTATTTCAATACTCTGTACACTTCGCAGCTTAAGGGCCTTTAGATCTGTTGTATAACACTCCTTGAATTGTTTAATTTCTTTGACAACTATTTGATTGAATTATATGTAGAAAATTTATGGATTTAGTGAAATACCACAATTTTCTTAAGAATTGGCCACTGAAACCAAAACAAACGGAGAAAAATGACGGAGGAGGACTAGAGTGCGACAATGACCATACCGGAGGGCTACAAAATTTAACCTCAACTGAGGAATCAGAGTATTTTAGGGAACACAGTTATATTCAACCCTGTTCTTTTGTTTGTTTTGCTTTTTATAAACATCTGTGTCTAAACTGTGAAGTGTTTGATGAAAATTATGTGGAAAACGAATACAAGAATTGATGAGTTTATCATATGATCTGGTCTGCCGTCTGCACTATGAAAATTCTAGCAAGAAGCTTGGATTGATTTAACATGGACTTAACTTTGTCCCATGTTTGGTATAACTTTGGAGTAGAAGGAGGATAGTGCTAAATAATCATTTAAATTTGATGAAAAGCAGATAAGGACTAAATACAGTAATCCGTAAGGATAATCCGGTGAAACAAACGTACACTAAATTCTTGGATTAAGCCACCAGCCCACGCTTGGGACTCAAATAATCAAACAAAAATCTATATCAAATAATAAACTGGGTCCCGGGTTTAAACTTTAAATATTTCCCTTTCTTCTTAGCGTAACCCAGTAATATCGCTATAAAATAACCAAATAAAATGAATGATGAGAACAAGTTGTTCTAGACATTGTCTTGGACTCTCTATTACATGGGAATTTAAAATAAGAAATCCTGAAAAGACTTGAAATGTGAAAATAAATTGAAAGATTGCACAGCTAGTGATCCTATATAGTGCAGACTACTTTGTTGTAAGCTAAATTTTCTGGTTGTTGCAACGATGCTTATTTTGCAGACGCTCTTTCTTCAGTGCCATGAATTTAGCTGCTATATCATCATAGTCAGGCAGCTTAGGGTGGACATGAGTAGGATACTGGAAGGCATCGGAATATGATCGTCGGAAGTCATCTTTGTGATTGTCCTTAGCTCTTTCGGGCGGCATTGTCACGGCTCTGGAATAAGGAGGTAGTGTTCCTTTTCTTGCACTCCAAGAATTAGTCACATGTGGAGATGTGGAACTATATGAGGCACGCCTGCATCGAAAACTCGATTCCTCTACTCTTCCTTCGAGCATTTTGTTTTGCATAGTGGGATGCTGATGATCCGGATACGTGAAAACGTTGTACATCATTGCTTCATTGCCATAGCTCTTCCTCCTCATTGGCTCTGGACGCACTGCAGGCCATTCGATTCCCCTGTTCAATTGTTCATGTCCATAAGTTGGAAATCCAACCCTAGCTGTAATCCCTCTCTTTTGCTTCCACGGTTGAACTTCTTGATGCTTTCTGCCATAGTAATTTAGACATTCATTATCCTTAAAGCATTGATTTTCCTGAGAAATCGATCTCTTCCTCGGTCTTTTCCCACTTCCCTTCCACCTTGATCTCCTTGGGCTTTTTGACTCGCAATTCTCACTCCAAGTCTCATAACATTCCACATAACTGAGATCACAACTGCTTTCAAGATTCTCCCTCTTCGGTGCGATACCTTTGAACTTGAAGAGTCTTTGGTCCTGGGAGTCTGCATCTCTTGTTGTAGAAAACTGAACCTCTTCTATGTCATCAAGGTAAATCACAATATCTCCATCTCTTGTTGTACCATGACTTGTGCTACCAGAAGTACTGCTCCGACTTTCTTCAGTGCCCGGAGCTGATATATTTGGAGAACCAGCTTCAGAAAAATTCCCTTCAATCAGTGGCATAACTAATGAAGAACTAGCAGAAGTTCTAGATACATTAGAATCAGCATCTACGGCTTCTCTTTCCATTTCCTCGACGTTTAAAACTTGCATTCCAGATGTTTTGGTTCGTCCATAATAATCTGCATCCAGTACTTGATGTCCACTAATTTCCTTCACCTAATATGCATTGAACAAAAGGACTAATATTTTAATTTCAAGTATGATAAAAGACATAGAGTACTGGGAGCTAACGGAAGACTTTGCACAAAATCAAGCACAGTAGCGTTCTAGGATTCGTACAGTCAACTCCACTTAATGGGATAAGACTTTGTTGTTATTGTTTATAAAAGATATACAATAGCATAAATGTTCTAGACATATTTATTGAAGTACTAATGAGTAATTACCTTTTGTTGCCATTCTGAATAGTACTCAATAGCTAAAACCTGTGGTTTGATGCAGTAATTTCTTGCTATTTCACTGACCAATATATGCTTCATATCATCTGTTACTGACTTTTGGGAGAGTTTCTCTATTACCTGTAGTTTTGGATTTTGTTAGTTCACACTCATGTATAACTTCCGATAACCTTATGAGATCAACAGAAACACCCTTTAAAAAATTTGTTGCAAAATCATAAAACTTGACATCGTACCTCACGGCTCACCAGATTCCCAGGGAGTAGTTCAAGAGCACTCATTGTGAATTTCTGCCCGTAACGTTCTCCGAATAGCTTCCTGATCCCCCTAAGCTCAGGCAGATCCCCACATCTTGCAGAAGCATATATAAGACTTGAAACTGCTTCATTTATGTCATTTGGGCAGTCCCTGAACAACCACCAAATTGCAGCACAAACACAATTACTTAAGATCAAGTGAGGAAAACATAAAAACTTGGGAACAAAATAGAAAAAATTCAGATCAAGGCGTACTTGTGTCTGCGGATGTAAGGAAGGTGGATGAGGATGAATTCACAGAAATTGTCCAACACTTCATATAATGCCACTATGGATTCGTCTTTGATTATCTGCTCAACCTGAAAAATCAAATGGCCCAAATTTCAATAAGTGTTAGTAGTAATTCGATACTCAAGTTGTTCTTGGTAGCACTTTAGTTTAACCGCACCACTTTTGTCACCCAAAAGTGCTTTGGGGGAATCACAATATCCCAAATCAGAAAACATAATATTGGATTTAGTATGGCAAACCCAAAAAAAAATTAGAGAATTCAACGAGAAAAAAAAAAAGGTAAAAAAAATCCCAGAAGACTCAGAATTGTTGGCAGCACAATAATATTAAAAATTTCCAACAAACGCATATTTTCTGGTTGTACTTTTCAGTTTTAACTACTTAACTTTCTCAACCAAAAGTTGAGGAATGTGAACAAACCCAGGTGCCAAATTAGTTCAACCAACTATATGTACTATGAAATAATTAATTGACAAGAATATTCATGACGAATTAAAATTAGAAAAGCAGAGAAGATATCACGGGATTTCTACTGTTACATTCATACCCTGTTGAAGGCTTTGTCTTCGTGACCGTGTTTGATCAGCTCCGCCACGTCTTGACGTAGTTGCCTGACAATTGCTTGCCTCTTGTTTTTCAACAACTTGAGCCGGCAGTGCACCTCTTTGATCAGCCTCTTGCTGCAATCCAAAAAACAAGCACGCACCAAACAAAACAATACAATGATTTTGGTTTTATAAAAGATAAAGCTATGATACATTTGCAACAAAAGAAACAGCTTCAAAGATTGCATGGTTTGAATTAAGTTACCACTTCGAAGCCCTTCGCCACCCGAATAAGATGTCGAACATGTCTACAATTGCGGAATAAATTTTGGATTGTTTTGAAGGTGAAAGAACAAAATGGTAGCAGGGAAAACCAGCTTCATTTGCAGCTGAAGCTTTGAGGAATAATGGGAAAGAGAGAAAATGTGAAGGAGAGAAGTTGAAGAACTAGTAACCACCAGATGACAGTTGGGTTGATCACTTTAGAGGGGGTTGCATATATTTAGGAGTGGGTTTGAAAAGGTTTAGAGAGAGAAAGAGAGTGGGAGAGAGAGGAGAGAGAGATTGTGGAGGCACGAGACAGTTGTTGGTCTCCTTGAAAAACTGCTCCCGCTACTAACAGAGATTAGAGCAACAGGACATGGGGTTAGTTTTTTTGCGAAGGTCCGGTTCCAAATATAATTTTGATAATTGTGTTGTAAAGTAAAAAGGCTCATTCTTTATCATTGAAGAGAAAATCTGGGAAAAAAGATTGGATAATGATGATATTTGATGAATCCAGGAGGAGACAAAATGAAGAAATTGTTGATCAAGCCAAATCATAAATATCTCTAAAAGTTCATCAGAATGAAGTCAGCCGGCTCCTAAAACCCAGAAGTACGTGGTCATGAATCAATTAGAAAGTGGAAAAATCACAAAAACACAAGAGCTACATAAACACACGGAATACAAAAAACGAATTGGACGAAAACTGGTGACAGAAACTTTGATAGCAGAAAGTTTATATAGGCATCAAGATTCCTAATTTTAGATAATGTTGAAAATATTGTGTAATGAAATTGTGCACTTTTAAGCGGTAGGTGTTTTCTGAAAAGTCTCAGTTTCGAATCACATAAAAATATAAAATAAACATAGAACTTTGATTTTTTTATTTTTTATTTTTTTTATTTGGACCTATTGTGTGGCTTAACTTGACTCTGTATCATTTCAATTGTATTAGATTTTTCTAAAATGACGCTTAACGACTCTCCAATAGAACAAAATATCGTTAGAAAATTAAAACATAGAAATAAAATGATCCAAGTGTTGAGTTTTTCTTTTTCTTTTCTGAAAGAACAAGAGAAATCTTGTAATCACGAATAAAAAGTACAAATGGAATACGTATTACTCATAAACATTGTTGAGCCGAAAAGATTGGTATGGTTGGTGTAGTTTGTGCATATCAACTGAACTTTGTAATTTGTATTAGTTGGACGTTATTGTATTTTGCACACAACCTTAAACACAATCATTGACATTGGACCCCCATCTGCTCATTCCCCTCCTTGTCGGATAAATGTGAAAAAGAAAAATAATATGCGAACACAGAACCTGCTTCACCAAAACAAATGCACAAAATGGCTGCGTGGTTGGTTGTTTTCTAGGAATAGGTAATCAAACCCCCCCCCCCTCTCTCTCTCTCTCTCTCTCTCTCTAAACTAGTAATTTATGTGTAAATATTGAGCTGGTGACCAACTGATGCCACAGGGGCATGCTGCATACATGAGACATGGCATGCAATAAACTGCAGGGTTGAGTGGAGGGAGCAAGCATGGCGTGGTGGATAAAGGCAAAGCTCCAATGATGAAAGATGATGCTCAATTTATAAGAATACCAAAAAGGTGGCTTGCTGACTCTCATAACATTCTTTTATAGTGTTTCTTGCTTTGCTAATCATTAGTGCACACCGCGCAGTAGCACAACACCCAACAGGATCCTCCTTATAAATCATGTTCGTTCATCGTACATTATATAATTAATTTTTGTCAAGTGCTGTTTGTATTTAATTTTAAATAAAAATATTTAAAATAATTTCTAATTGTATGATATACGATAAACTAATATGATTTACGAATCCTCAGCATTCTCAAAAAGAGAAATCGGCAAGAATTCGGATTCGCACGTCACAACTAGCATCCATTCCTTGGAGCGTCTTGTTTAATATTATAAAGAATTTTACTCGGGAAATGCATAAAATATAATTTTGTGCTAACTACATTTACACTGTTCAGGTTGAGATGATTTTTAAGATGCTGAGTAAGGTTTTATGTTTTTCACCTTGCATCTGATATTTTAAAATTATATCAATTTATAATTATATATATATATATTTGAACAAATGATATTAATAACACTAAGGGGTGAAGGGATGGGTTAAGCGATATTATCTACATTAAGGTCATCTTCAACCAATCCGACCTAGAGAGCAAAAGGGTCGAAAATAGTCTGAAATGACACGAAAATCGTCTCTAACTGAGAGCTAGGCCAAAGGGCTTGTAAGCCCCACTAGGCCAAAATCAGCCAATCATGCCAGCCGACTGCCATCTCTAGCTAGCTAGCTAGCTAGCCCGATGAGCCAGCCCACTTTTTTTTTTGTTTTGAGGAACTTTTTGCCTAGCCCACTTTTTTTTTTGGAGGATTTTTTTTGCCCAACCCACTTTTTTTTTTATAAAAAAAATTCTAATTTTTTCAATTTCTCACATACTTTTCACCATTCCATACTATTTTACCTCGTTTTATTTCAATTCTTCACATTCCATCTTTGGTCTTCTCGATTGGAGATGATTTTTTGTCACAAAGATATGTTTGGCCTATGGTCCTTTGGCCCCTTGGTTGGAGATGGTATGAAATATGGACTGGTACACAGTCAAATGCAGAAATCTCTTTCGTTTCTCTCTCATCTCTCTTTCTGATATTTCATTTCTTCTTGCTATTTTGTTAAGAGCTCTAACTAGTACGAGCGCAAGCTCATAGTCTAGCTCTTTGACTTGTCATTGTCTGAACAGTTCTACACTCTAAACAGAAGAATATGCGAGTCTACCAGTAAGAAGAGTTCGATTAATAATTAGTTATTCAATTTCTAAAAAATAAATACAGATCATGACTTATTTCTCTTCCAACAATTACAGCAAAAACACCAGTCAATTAGCTAAGAGGAAACTGGATCTTATTAATCACTTCGTACAATGAACAAAATCAACCAAGATAAACATCAAACATATTACATCAAGAGGAAAAAAATACATAAAATTACATGGCATGAAGAATTTAATTTCTGCGTTTCTTTTTTTTGTCAAACTTTCCTGGTCCATAAGTATAAATGCATGTGTCACGAAGGAGGGGAAATTGCATCCACACAAATGAGGCGATTGGAAGAGTCGCAAGAAGAATAACTGGGATAAGAATCCATGATTGTTTGTCAAGCATAAGGATAAGGGCAGAAGAGAAGGCCAACATCATAGCCGCGATAGAGAAAAAAAGGGGGAAAAGGCCTAATATCATTTTTGTGGGTAAAGATATGAGGAAGTCTTCTTCGGAATAACGCGATGTGAGCAACCCTAAGAATATCATTACTGAAGTTATGGAAAAAAATAGCGATATAGAATCTGACATTATAAAAACCATGAACAGCTTTTTACCCAAAAATGTGGGATAGCCTTTGTCTTGTGTGTTTCCTCCAGGAACTGTAAATGCTGCAAAAAACATCATTGTAACAATTAAAGCACCTACAACTGTACAAGAAGTTGCAGTCGCTTTCATCGATTTCTCACCCTCCACCAATTCTTTGTGGTTCTTGGTAAATAATGCTCGAGCTGTCATGCGATCAGTATAATTTATCAATCCAGGGGCATTGACAGGTACAATGCTCTCCACCTCCTACATTTCATTAAATAAAAACTTACCAACTACAACCATTTAAGAGGTACATGGAGGTTAGTAGAAATAAGACCAGGCATCTTAGGATTTTTTTTTTTCCTATTTTTTACCTTTTCTCATTTTGCTGCTAGCAAGTAAAAGTTTAGTAGTTTATTGAAGCGCATGTCTGAACAACTGTCTCATAAGACTACAGAAAAGCATGCGCAATAGCGATAGTTGCGACGGGCAAACGATGTTTCATGGCTTGTGTCGTTATCAAAGCCATGGGTTACTGTAGATCAGGGGTGTCCATTGACCAAGCAATGAAACTATTATACTTGGGGAACCGTTGAAAGTCAGAAACCGTAACCCATCGTAAAAGGTCAGATGATTTTCACAGCCTATGAGTTAAATTTTAGGGATTCTAGGAGATCTTTCAAGAGTCCCTATTTTAGTAGGAAAAAGATTACGTATATTTCTTTCATTATAAAATTAGGTTTTGTATATGTAAATATTGTAACCGTCTGTTTTAGTGAAAATATAGAGTTTTGGGTTATGTATATACAATTCTACTCTAAACCCTACAAAAAAGCCCTAAAAATATGCGACCCTTTGTGTCTTCAAACATATTTTTATTTTATAATTATATCCTACAGATCACCTACCATTTATTCCAATAAAAATCTAAAAGATGTGAAATTATCCATCATTATTATTGACTTTTGAGCTATTTACTTCCATGTTAAACAATATGAAAATATAACGACAACATTCAGCTAAATTACAAAAAATGTATAGTCACACTATAATGATCAAATTTACAGTGCAGTTTTACATACGCAAAATATCATTGTTATTATTGTAACAAAGTTGGTTTTTCCGTTGTGAAGATCTTATTACATTGTCAAGGTAGGATCTTATGTGTGAACATAATGGCATTAATGACCAAATCATCGTTTCAATTAAAGGATATTGATACCCTTGTTTTAATGGGTACTCTAACTAACCGGTAAATATTGTAAACTAGTATACAAAATAATTTCATTAAGAGATTAGGCATCTTACTTCCAACGTTACATCTTGCAAATTGGCAACGTTACATCTTGTAGGCTATGGACAATTCATTATGCACATGTATAATGAATTTAACAATAGCTTTTCTCTCTTAATACTATAATCGAAGATGTAGTTTTCTCTGCCTTTCAGTTTAAAGTATTTATGTGTGTTATATCAAAAGTAATTGGACCGCTAGCTTCACTCGCTGTCAGTCGATTTTGGGTTAGACTTGTTAGGTGGCAAGTAGAGCCATGGATATATACATGTTGGGTGAGAATAATTTATCTCATGAATATGCAGTGAGAAATTAAGACTAACCTTGAACCATTGCAGTTCGCTTTGCATTTGCAGCGCTGCACCCTGAATATGATTAAGGTTCGCAGATAGATTCGCCGCTGAATGTAGAATACTATTGTTAAATGTATCTGCAGAACGCAAAGGATTTCTAATATCACTTTCCATCAGCACCCCGTATAGAAGGTTATAAATTTTTGCTTGACGACATTCCACAGCATATGCAAACACTGCTTTGCCTTTTCCATCTCGTATCGCAAGGCCTCGTATCACAAGGCCTGGATTAGCCTTGATTCATATGACCGCACGATTTGGATAAACGGCCACGATTATGTGGTCCCACTGGATCCCAGAGAAGCTCCCAGCTGATATGGATCCCATGACGATGATTGTCAAAATGCATTATTTAGATTTATAATATGATAATAATGTAAGGCAATCTCCAACCAAAGGGTCCAGATGACCGAAAATAGTCTGAAAATCGTCTCCAACCGAGGGCTAGGCCAAATGGCTCGTAGGCCCCATGGAATCTGAAAGGGCCAAAGAGCCAAAGAGCTGGCTGAAAATCAGAGCAATCCTATCGGATATAATTGACATGAGTATATTTAATATAAATATATTCATGTCGGTTATTCACCATTCCTACACCATTTCAATTCTCATATTTTCTTTCCTCTTTCAAAAATCTAATCCTTCAATTTTGTCAATAATTTTCAAATGACCTCGTTTGCATTGAAAGGTAGGGCTTTGAGCCTAAAAGAAGAAGAAGCTCTTTGCAAGGCTTATAGATAGGTGTCGGAAGATAGTGTGAGGGAGAATTGTCAAACAAATGACAGTGTTTGGACTCGTGTATCCAAAAAATACTTAGAGTTCTATGAAGGCACAACTCCACTGAATATCCGAAACCACGAGAGTAGTTCTTCAAGATGGAAGAAACATCTTCAGCCAAGTTTGAACAAATAGCATCAAGCATTGTTAGCAGTCGCAAGTAGACATGAAAGTGGTGCTAATTACTACGATGAAGTAAGTGTTTTCACAATTTATTTTAAATATTTAATTACATTACATTTAATTTCATAAATTAATTTCCTTTAATTTTTGTAATTATATTTTCTAGGTATGCCAAGCGGAGGAATTGTATATGGAGAGCAGCTCGAAACCCTTTCAGTTTCATAGTTGTTGGGAAATTTGTAAAGGGTGGGTGTTATTTGAAGATCCACCTCAACATAGAGCTCCTACGCTAGTATTCAAAACTGCATCCTCAGCTGTAGATATGGATGAAGATGGATCTCCTACCATTCAACAAACAAGGGTAGAAAATCGTCTTCGGGTGAAGGCTCCATACCTAGGGCTATGGGACGAAACAAAGCGCGAAGGTTGAAGGAAAAGGGTAAGGCAAATGATGATTACGCCACTCAACATGAAGTGGTGGCCTCATTCAATTAATGGCGGAGCAAAATGCCCTTAAGGCGGAAGAAAGGAAGTGTAGGCATGAAGAACGGGCCAAACAAATACAAGAAGAGATGGATGATAAGAAGATGGAAAGGAACAGTTCAAATTACACTCCAATAAGTAAGGCTTATTTTGATAGGAAAAAAAAATTATGACTCGACAACAGTTGTTTACCTCTGACTATACTCCTACAATTGCGGATGATGAAGATGATGTTGATTATGGATATTAAATTTAAGTTGTTGTAGTTTTTAAATTTAATTTGTAGTTTTAAATTTAATTTTGTAGTTTTTAAATTTAATTTGTCGTTTTTAAATTTAAGTTGTAGTTTTTAAATAATAAATTATGTTTGGCTCTCGGTTGGAGACGGTTTTTTGTGACAGGGCTAAAACGAGCCCCATGGTCTTCGATTGGAGACAGAGGCAATTCTAGCCCTGTATTGTTCATTAAAATATTAATATATTGAAGGATCAGAGGGTTAAAACGAGCCTAATTGCCCTGTATTGTTCATTAAAATATTAATATATTGGAGGATCAGAGGGCTAAAACGAGCCTTCTAGCAGCCTTCAGTTGGAGATGACCTAAACATTTGTCTGACAATAAAGGGTTCGGGCCAGCCCTCTTGACCAGCAGCTCTACAACCAAATGATGACCCCTACGTGTATGTTGAAATTTTTTTATGAATGCCAATAGCAGTGGACATGTCCAATATGACCATATCATAAAATGTTTTTTTCAATAAAATGATATCATTATTGAATTAAATAGTTGTTAGAGAGAGAGAGAATTGATAGGAATTCGAAACCGCACAATAGAGATTTCAATCAACTCATTAATTTTAGGCACATTTGCATTTTGACACGACAGATTTATTGTCTATTTCACAATCCGATTGATCCAATCCACAATGTTTTCATGATCAATTTCTTCTCAAAATTGAAGGGAAATAATATGTGCAAAAAAATTTCATGATCAGTTTATTCTTAATTAATTATATGTTTCTGTCCCATGAACCTTCCGACATATTATAACACTTATCTATGCCAATGCACCCATAGAAAGCAAATTAATATTTGGTTTTGTTTTCTTTCTAGTGTGTGTGTGTGTATATAAAGGTGGTTCTTGAACGAAAGCACCCATAAACCATGCACGTACACACACACACAAAAAAAAAAAAAAAAAAAAGACTTATTTACAAAAACGCTAACATGAAATTTTCTTAATTGATATGCAATCTATCTACAAGATTGTTCTTGTACGAGAGTACCGGTGCTACTAAAGTGAAAGATGCAATGATTTTTGTATATTTTACATTTGAAAGAAAAGAAAGGAAATTCTGTTGTGTGCAAGAACCACATAATAACTAACCATGCAATCGATCTTCCCTCTGCAGAAATTAAGCAAATAGCTTGCCGTGCAAATGCTTAACTTCCCACCTTGTACATATTTTGAATTCGAAGTTATGACATTCATGAATTTATCATTTCTTGAACTTATATCCAAAATTAAAGTGATATTTAGGGTCTGAAATCTGTACTTTCTTATCTGGCTGGGACAAATTGTTGACCACCATGGAGGCGTCAACATAAATCCCGATTGGATCCGGCAATACATTGTATGCTCCGAGTCCTACATTGACCGGCACCCTAACCGAAACAGTCACAGGGATCCTGCCACTCTTGATTTTCTGCATAAGTGACTCCCCGATAGGGCCCTCAAAGTCACTCCCTTTCAAGTCTCCTCTCAAGTCCACGTCCATCAAGGTGGTATTTCTCGTCGGTTGACGAAAATGTGGGACCACCCCGGTACAAAGTTTCATCCCGGAATACTTGAGCTGCACGGTGCTGCCCTTCCCATATACAATGGATATTCTTTTGTTGGGATTCTCGGCCTTTACCGTGACCACAAATTGCGCATGGAGGTTGTAATGAGGGGTGAGGTTGAATGCCTTGACAGAGAAGTCGCTAATACTGTATTTGGGCTTACGGGGATTGATAATTACTAGGCTGATGGCCACGGCAGCAATGATTACCACTAGGATTACGAAGATGCAACAACAACACCAACAGTAGCATCGCAGACAACTGTTTTTGCGGTGCCCATTAGGGCGGTACTGGCCATTAAAGCGAGGAGGATTCCGGCCATTGGGACCTGGATAACCTGGATCTTGATGCATCATGTGTGGCGGTGGATGTTGATTAGGACCAGGGTGCATAATATATGATAATTTCGATGGTATGACTAGGTAGCAAGAGCAATTGAATCAAGTACGTATGTACGTACTTAATCCTTCAATTACTTAATGTGCATTCATAAATTGTACGTATGTTCTAGGTAAGTATTTAGAGATCGAAGAAGAAAAAGAGGTACTTGATCTTTCTTCTTCTTCGATCTAATGATGGTCAGGTGCAGATAATGGAGCCCGAAGGTGGCCGTCAAGGTGAGGAAGGGGAGGTGGGATTTTTTGCAGGGATATATATGGTAATTTCCATTGGTTAAGGACATTGTTACATATGTGTGGATATCGTCAAACATTTGACTCCTGCTGGCCTTGTATTGTAATTGTGCGTCAAAACGGGTTTTGTGGGTTTCAAAACTCAGAACACCAATTTTCTATTTTTAGGCTCAAAATAATCCGCTAAATTTACTGCCTTTTGTTGTAATTGTAAACTTTCTAAAGAGTTGAGGCTTCGTAATAAAATTAATTGGAAATATAAAAACCGTCCAACCTCTTATAAGTCATTGCAAGGTTTCTTTTGGTATGCAGAGTAGTCCAACCTCTTATAAGTGATTTCTTCTTGTATGAGGAGTAGTCCAACCTCTTTTATAAGTCCTTACAAGATTTCTCCTTTCACCGATGTGTGACTTTTTTATCTTTACATCTTCACACGTCCGCTCATGTTTATGGCCAATTTTCAAACCAAACATGTGAACAACATAAATTAGGTGACATGGAACATGTGTGGCTGTTGAGCTTCATAAGTGGACCAACTTGCTTTTATGCCATGTAAATTTCACATGTAAGCCAACTTGCTTTTATATCAAGTAAACTGTGTAATGCTACTGTACATCGTTTTATAGAAAACAGATACAAGAGTCCTATCTCATCGTGAAAATTACATCCTGAAGTTTAAAATACAATTCAAATATACAAAGATAATTAAGAGAATTATCTCTAACTAACTGCTCTTACTAACCGTAAATGAATGCAAATGTTAATTGAACTGATTTGGATAACTTCATAATTAGTTACAATTTAATCGAAATTACATATATACATAAACCAAATCGATCTCCCTACTATCCGAAATAACCAATTGGCAATGAATTTTCAACTCATCTCTAATTAACATGTAATTATATACGAGCAACATTCACCTAAGAGTCACTTCCTACAATGAAGCCGGTAATACTCGAGATTTATAACTTCCAGATGTAAGAATATTAACTCATGTACAAGATTCTTAATTAGCCTATTTTCATACCAGTGAGAAAGAAAGAAAATATTTAATTCCTCCGTGGCGTTGGAGAGGAGGCGCGGATGGCCTCCCGACAGTTACAAGATGGGTAAGCTCCAATTCGAAAGAATGACGACATGAGCTTCACCGCAGCAGTCTTAACCTTACAAGCCACCCTGTTTAACTTCATACATCTTGAGCGTTGTGACCTATCGGGTGATTCAAACCTGTAGGAGTTTAGGAATATCTGGCGCTTCTGCTTGGCTTGGTCCTCATTATTCCTCAACGGAATTTGTGCCACTTTCTTACGCTTAAACGACATTGATCTCCTCCCTCCAACACCATGCCTGTTTGCAGTTGTCTTCGCTCGATCCAATGGCTCGTAACTATAAATATCAAACCGCCGGCTCATGCTGGTGGTGGCGCTGCGGACTAGACCGTCCATGGCTGTATATATGTGCTTAACTATGGCTGCTAATAATGAGATAAATTATTGAGCCGGAGAAGATTTTGGGTTGCTATAGCCTATTGCAGTTCACTTTGATCTTATATACAAGAATAAGTAAAGAATTTTTATTTTTTGGTTTTACACGTTTTCTTGGTTTGAATGAAAATTTGAAAGTAGTCGTTGACTGCTCCTTTTTTTTATTTTTCTTATATTTCTTGGCTGGCGCACTCTGTAGCATACCAATTGTAGTGTTTGAAACAGCAAGTCAAATACTCACAGCAACCACAAGGAACGTCTTTCAGTAGTATTTGTACTACCATAAAATTACACGTGGCTATGTTGGGATGAGAAATTTTCAAATTTTAAGAGATTGAAGTCAAGCTATTTAGTAAGGAATGGATTACCAAATGTTGATGGGGGACTAGAAAATCCTCATATGAGCATTATTGTAAAGACATGTGAGAGAGATTTGCAAATCGCTACTTAAAATGAGTCATTTACAAGTCTCTCTCTCACGTGTTTTTGTAATGCTTATAAGATAATTTTTTTAATCCCTCCTATCAACATTTTGTGTTCTATTTTATAAAATAGACTTTAATCCCTTAAGACTTGGAAATTCCTCACACAAATATAGCATCAGGAAATGTACTAGATTGTCTTTCATTGCAGATAAGATCATTATACCTAATTTTTAGTCATACCTATGAAAATTCATGTGTGTGATTGTCACAAATATCTAGTGTTAGTAATTCACATACTTAATATAATAAAAAAGTACGACATATATTTTAGGGCATAGTCTAACGTGGTAGGCCAATTGAGCATAACAATGTCCTCGACTTTTTCACTCATATTCGAATCCTTCTAGTAGAATATCATTTTGTTAACAAAAAGTGTAGTATAAGATGTCCAATAGCCAAATTAAGCACGACTACAAGCATGGATCTGACCATCAATATTTTGGAATCCCAATTACATGGGAGTTCCCTTTATTGACATTTGACCAACAAGTGCATAGTATTTAATCAGATAGGTGTAGAATATTCGATGATTTTCAAGCAAAGTATTTCTATCTAGAAGTGCAACGTATGCATAATTGAATATAACGAGTGTCAACCAATAATTTTATTGAAAATCTCTTATCGGCGAATCAACAAAAATTACATTATGTAATACAAGCAACCTCACACCTCGCACAGCTAGGCATGTGGGAGATAATTGTAAAACAGAGAGTGGAGAACTATTGTTAACTACATTGTAATGTTTTGGAATTGGGAGAAATTCAAGAAGGAAGATGAAGAAGAATGAACACAAAGATCTTAGAGAGAGAGAGAGAGAGAGAGAGAGAGAGAGAGAGAGAGAGTTTAGAGAGAGAAATATGATTTGTATTAACTAACTAAATGAAGATTACACCCATAGTTTTTATAAGAGAAATCCTAACTACTTTAACCAAATCCTAACAACCTTCTAACTATATTACTAATTGTACTGTATTACATTTGTACCCTTAATACTCCCCCTCAATCTCAACTGGGGTAACCCAGTTTGAGATTGGAGAAACATTTATGCAATTACTAAACACAATGTTGAACCATCTGCAATCTTGCAATTCCACAGCAAAATCTCATATGCAACTCTGTTGTCACAACAAATTCTTTATCGGAAATCTTGTTCTCGCCAACCACAGTCACTTCCAGACATGTGACTCCACAGCCTTAGGCAATATTAACAATCAGCTGCAAACACATGTGCCATGGCCCATGGCATAGCAATTGCATGAGAACCCACGGATTATCTGGATAACCTGAAGAACAGAGAGCGATTTACGGAGCAAGGGGATGCAATAACATTTGAGTATGAGGTGGACAAAGTTTATCTCAGCATGCCTACAAAAATTGCTATTCTGGACCATGAAAAGAAGAGAACATTTGTGTTACGGAAGGATGAGAAATGGCTATCCACTTCCCAAAGAATTTCAGCCTCTCAAACTGATTTTTACACCGCTGTAGCTACTGTTTTCTTTGCGATAAGGTTTCCAATATTTCACAATCAACATGCCTAGAAAACGTTCAATTTTCACAGATTCCACTATATTTTATAACATTTTGATTTCTCTAACCAAATCCTAACAACCTTCTAACTATATTACTAACTATATTACAATCACAGAAATCAAGAAACACAACCTTCTTCGGCAATCGGCCTTCAATGAAGAAAGGGAACAAGAACTGCACTCCGGCAATCGGCCTTAATGGAGTTGCACACAAGAACAACAAACAAAACTTTTCAAGAACGTTACTCCAGCTATCGGCCTTCAAGGAGTAACACACAATATCTGAGACAGAACTTTTCACTCCGGCTCTCGGCCTTATGGAGGAAACAATTTGCATTCAACACACTCTTGGTAATTGGCCTTTTTTGAGTGCACAAATCTCAAACAACCAAGAACTAATCACACAACACAAAGGAATGGCTATCGGCCTTTGTATTCCTTCAACAATCTCACAGAAAATGGCTATCAGCCTTAACAGATAAACTTGCATACAAGAAACCCTATCGAAGAAAACAAATTTTCAATGTGGCATTTAAGCAAACAGATAGAGTGCAGAATTTAGTAGCAAAACCGAAGACTCGAGCTCATGATCGGAAAACCCAACCAAAGATCCTCCACCAAACCACCAGCTACCAGCAAAAACCCCGACAAACAGAAAGAAACCCTCAACAATCACAACGGAAGGACAGCCCTGAAGATCAAAACAATTATTCAAACCCAGAAAAGATTATCAAAAGTGAGAAGATTCTGTGCCTTACTTTGGATGAAACTCATTCCATTTCTACAAATCTTTTAGTTGTTCTGTCGTTGTCTTTGCAAGGGGAAAGAAATTTGGAGAATTTGGAGAATGGCAAAGTGCCCCAAAGGGAAGAGAGTCAAATTCCAGCAAGCAACCAGACTATTCAAGTTAGAATTTCAAGACGCCGCATGCTCGCGATCTCCATCGAGGTAGAGAGGAGGACCAGACGAAAGATCAACCAAGAAGTTACAGTACTATCGCGGAAGCACCAAAGAAAATCTAATAAAAAACGATGAAAACGACGAAATCTAATGAAAAACGGAACCACCAGAATCCATGGCGTGAGCCTGGTGGCTCTGATACCATGTTAACTACATTGTAATGTTTTGGAATTGAAGACAAAATCAAGAAGGAAGATGAAGAAGAATGAACACAGAGATCTTAGAGAGAGAGAGAGAGAGAGAGGGGGAGTTTAGAGAAAGAAATCTGATTTGTATTAACTAACCAAATGAAGATTACACCCTTAGTTTTTATAAGAGAAATTCTAACTACTTTAACCAAATCCTAACAACCTTCTAACTATATTACTAACTGTACTGTATTGCATTTGTACCCTTAATACTATTGGCCCGTCTCTTTGAAATTTAATAACTCTTTCTCCTAAGTTAAGAATATGCAATACTAGCCAGTGACCACCTGACAAAGGGGCTTCACATTTGAGACGGTCCATGAAGAACAATAGAGTAGCTTATCAAGTTCACCAAATATAGCATCTACCTATCCAGCAAGCGAAGATGTTATTAATGGAAGTCACAGGCCTCCCAGCAGATCCACAGTGCCAAATTTATTATCAATCTTAACCTTCAATTTTCATTTGTACCAAAATACATAAATTAATGAAGCTTGCATTTATGGCTGTGTATGCGTTTCCAAAGTCTGAGTCAGAGCAGTTCACGTAAAAGAAAGCACCCTTTTAATTCAGTAAATTCTTGAGCAATTAGCCGTATCACCATTCTTCCATGGAACCACAAGGGCAAAGCTTGATGAGTCCTGTGACTATCTGTTACTGTAAACATGCAATCTTGTAGCTTTCATGTGACCTTTTCTTTTCATACCACTTTCTCCTGTGATTTGGTTCAATACTTTCTTCTTAATTTTTCTCATTTCACCAGCCTCATTCCTCTATATATTCATCTCCTTCAAACCTTTTCTTCTTACCACTATCTCAATCCCACAACATCCTCTCTAGCTTGCAAAACCCTACTATTTTCCGAAACAAAAGAAGAAAAAAGAAACAAAATTAAACAAAATCATGAAGGGTTCAATTTGTGTAGCTACATTTCTTGTTGTCATTCTTTTCCTTCCGCAATCCATGTCCGCAAGGCACATAGCTCGGCCTCATTCACGTATGATTACTCTCGATTAAACTTATTTATTATAAACTATAATTAATTAACATTAAACAAGTCTTCGTTTTTCCTTTTTTACATTTTTTCTGATGATTAAATATGTCATGCAGATCATCATGGGCGCCGTCTGAAGAGTACAATTAGAGAAGCATTAGTGGATAAAAAGGCAAGTAATTATAAGAGAGTTAGGGGGCCAGATACAGTCCAAGTGGCAGGGTCGAGCTTGCCAGATTGCTCCCATGCTTGTGGATCTTGCAGACCATGCAGACTAGTGATGGTGAGCTTTGTTTGTGCATCAATCACTGAGGCTGAAACATGTCCAATGGCTTACAAGTGCACGTGCAAAAACAAGTTTTATCCTGTTCCTTAGTTTCACTAGTTCATCACAGTGATTATTCAACGTCAACTAATGTAGTCAAATTTTCCTTCTTTTTGAACCCTCCAATTTCTTTGCTAGGTAGAGATTTTGTGTAACCAGAGTGTTTGGTACTGATGTTTAATATTATGAAATCACCAAGGACTCAATTTTCTTCGTTCAGTGGGTTCAAAATTATCTGAAGTTTAATCATCACGAAGAGCCTTTTATGTTCTCAATTTCATATGTAACAAGCTAAGAAAGTAAATTAGTTAAGCATATAAGGAGCTCCATACTCTCGCAACCAGCATCTTGGATGTTAAAATTTTATGAGTAAAAGATCGAACTAAAAAAATACAACACAAGTTAAGGTACTAATATGGTGGTGGATCGCCTTTGCTGATATAGGTAGCAACGTTGAGTTGAAGCTTATTATTTTCGGTGACCCTCACAACGCTAGCCCTTTTTTGGATGACTTAATAGGTATTTCTGGGCTTTGTTACATTTGTATGGCCATTGCCCCAAAGTTACAAAAAAAAAGAGGGGTGGGGTATGTTAAAATTAGTTAAGCATGACATTAAACAACACTCTTAAACACTTCAACTGTGCATATTCATCATATAAAATAACACTCTTTGTGTCATAATGATCATGAAGAATGACCTCCAACAACGCATTTAACACTCAAAATGAACATGAGGTCATTGTGGATTGACTATTTATGTAATCTCACATTAATTTTATGAACGTGAGGTCATTATAGATTTTGATGATGAATAATTGAACGAATCATATAGGGAGTCTAGGCAATTATAATTATTGGAAAAATAAAAAAAGAAATTAAGGGCCAAAATTACACCATAACTAGATTTCAAACTCAAATAGGTATAGGTGAGCATATAATTTATATCGTCATGTTTATATTTGTGAGTCAAATGATTTTAGTTGGTACATACAAACCGGTGTTAGAGTAGGGGTGGAAAAAATTCCCGAAAATCTCAAACCGAACCGAAAAAATCCCGATCCCAAACCAAAAATTTCCCAAACCGAAATTTCCCAAATTTTCGGGATGCTATCCCGAACCAATCCCGAAATTTTGGTATGGGATTTGGGATTGGCTTCTCAATATTTCGGGAATCCCATACCAAACCGAAATTATATTATTAATTTATACATAATATATATTATTCTTTTATAATTGATGCTAGTAGTTTCTAATTCATGCTCTGCAACCTGGAATGCCTTACACCTTGCATATTTTTCATGTTCTGTTTGATATTCATTTGGATTTTATTATTGCTGCTGTCATGGCTAATGATTTCAGAAGATTTGATTCTTTTGTCTCTTAACAGATTGTCAAAAAGGTTTAATTAATTTGAATTTTGACTCTGATAAAAACAATCAAGCATGCCAATATTTGATTAAATGGTAGTGTGAATGAAATGACATTCCTAGTTCATGAATGTGTTCTTAAATTATATATTTGAAGAATAATTCATAATTTCATATTTTAATTTGGGATTCCCGATTTGTCCCGAAATCCCGAAAATATTTCGGGATTCCCGAAATTTGGGATTTCCAAAATTTTGGTTTGGGATTGGTCTTCAAATTCCCGTCCCAAAATATTTCAGTTTGGGATTCGGGATACTACTTTCGGTTCGGTATCCCATACCGAACCACCCCTATGTTAGAGTAACATATTTTTGCACGTGCGAGGCCACAGGGAACAGAACAAACCTGCCTAAGGCCAAAAGAGAAGCACCGGAGGGAGAGCTAATGTCTAGGCTGGTTTGCAGGAACTTGACTGGTTTGAGTGCCATTGACAGATTGAGACAAAACCTCCCAAAACAAAACAATTCCTTTTTTGAATGCAAAACTGTTAACTCTGAAAAAAACAAAAAAAGGGATGATGTCATTCTTCTTCTTCCTCCTCCTCCTCTTCGTTCTGTATCATTCCTGCTCCCACCACCACCACTTTCTTCCAGTGGGCCCTGCCGTCACACCATCATCGCCAACAGAACCACCACTGCCAACAGGTCTCCTCAGATGCCATAGCAGGTACTCTCTCTCCTCTATGGATTGTATGTTGCAACGTACATAAAATTTGTCTTGTATGTCAATGCTATGAGTGCCGAGGTACCCACCCACCTCACCTTTTCAGAAAGTTTGAATCTTTGATCGTAAATTATGCAAAAGGAAGGCCATTAATTGTGCCATTAATCTTTTCCCTCTAAAAGGTTCCCATCTTCAAAGCTATTGGGGCACCAAGCAATTATGCCATGATTCCATTCCTTGATTTTCTGTGTTTTTCCTTAAAGTGATTTGGGGTAGAAAAAAGGAGAAAAAGTTGACTAATTGTGAGGTTAAATTATAGGAGAATACCGAAGAGCATGAGTTGTTGAGTGCAATCATTTTGCCTTTGCCACCATTTTTTTCCTTTTTGTTTTTGGCCTTTTCGCTTTCGGTTAAGGAGGGTGAAAGATTATCTCTTTCTCTTCCTCTCTCTGGATTTTAGCCTCCTCATGAGATCAAGGAAGCGTAGACAATGCTTTCCTTCTTGCTCTTCCTTTCGCAAAGTGAGCTTTTAATTAGTCCCATCTCTCTTTCTGTTTGTGAATCGAAGATTCGTGTTACTAACTGTTGATTTTTTCTCCCACTGATATTTACTCTTAGAGCCTTTTCTAATGGTTCATGACAGGCTTTGTTTTTACTTTTTCCTCAGAACGTGTTTACATCAGTTGAACCATTTTATTTTATTGTGTTTGCCACATTTTTTAAGGAGTTAGAACTTTGCCTTTCTCTTGTGTGCTCTGTTGGCTTCTAAATGTTTGATGTTATCACATTAGATTACAGGTTATTGGATCGGTCCATAATTTGAAACCTTTTCTATGCTATCGTGTGTTCTGTGCAACAATTTATAAGTATTGAAATGCTACCAAATGTAGGTTGATGAGGATGAAAATTATAGGAGACGGAAAAAGTGCAACGAAGAGTTGGAATGGCCACACAATTCATCAACTCATGTCAAATCGCAGTTAGCTCAATGTTTTAGTGAGTAGAGTATCTCTCTTCCATTCTTCTTTTGTTTCCCAACAGAGGAACACTGTGTCTCGTGTATTTCTATCAATAATTATGGTGATGACATTTACTTCGAAATGAGGAACAAAATGCCTTTAGTTCGTGCACGCATTTCATCTGTTATATCGTATGCATTTGACGACTTGAAGCAAATCTCTTGAATTGTGATATCCGTTGTATACACTGAGACCAATGCTGCTGATCAAGTTCTTGTTAAACTACCAAAAGTTTACAATAAAATTTGTACATATGATCCTTTTACACTCCGTTCACAAAATTTCAGTTTTCACTAACGAGATTTTAGTCGTTGTAGTTAATGCTATGGTTGGACCACGATCATGGACAGGACTATTTACCCGCTCAAATAACAGACGAAATCACTCTTTAAGTCCTTTCAGGTGTATAGTTGTGGTGTTCCCTTGCCAACTTTTGCTTCTGATGTTGAATTTGTTTATGAACAGTTCATTTCTAAAGACTTGTATAGATATATGTGAAACTGCCGTAGCGTGTGAAATAGTATGACATTGTCACTTTGTATTTAAAAGCTTTCTTGGAATTTCTGAAGACTTGAGCATGCAATTCTAGCTTTGGTCACTTTTAGGTTCTTAAAGTTAAGTACTTTGCTGTTATCCACCTTACTGGACTTCCAATGTAATTTTCAACTTCTATATACAGGAACAGAGACTTCTGAGGCTTCAAGCACGATTACAAGTACCTTTTGACGAGAATCGCCCTGATCATCAAGTATATTCTTCATGCTGGTTCCGAACATATTTTTTTATTATTACTCTTGTCCATTGTTTTCTTGGTTTAATGTGGTTAAAATGAGCTACGATAGATTGTGATGACCGTTCATTGTTTATTTCGTTATCTATGATTCCAGTCTGCTAGAGAAACGATTTGCTATCATGACCACACCATTTGATTGCAATTTAGTTTTCATGCCGAATCTTCAATAGCAGTATATGATTTAAATCTTATCTTGTTACCATTATCCTTCAGGAAGCCTAAACCCCTTTTCATTAGCTATTTGGTTCTTCATCGTTGAATAAGTCTACGTTATTCCATTTAAATTCAGGAAACCTTGAAAGCATTGTGGCATGCTGCCTTTCCAGATGTTGCTCTGCGAGGTCTGATCTCCGAGCAATGGAAAGAGATGGGTTGGCAAGGTTCTAACCCCTCTACCGACTTTAGGTAGAATTCTATCCGATTGACACAAAGTTAGTCTGACAGTTTGAAATTGAAATACTTCGTCTTATTACTAAACTGTATTATTGCAATTCCACATTTTATTCTCTTTCATTGAAATGCTCTCTTCAGGGGTTGCGGTTTTATCTCCCTCGAGAACTTGCTTTTTTACGCCAGGACTTATCCAGTATGCCTTCTTGACTGTTGTGTATCTCCTGCAAATATTCACATGTTCTTTTTCTGTCTTTAGCTTACTAATCATATAAAGTTCGAAATGAAGGCATCTTTTCGTAGGTTATTGTTCAAGCGAGAGGGAAATCGAGCAACTTGGGAATACCCGTTTGCTGTTGCTGGCATAAATATATCATTTATGTTGACTGAAATGCTGGATCTTTGCTCAGGTTCGTAAAGAAGTTCTAATATCTATACCATGAATAGATTTTCTTATCATGTTTAATTGTAACGTCAAATTGAAATTCAAACCATCTGTTTCACAAAATTTTATACAAGGAAAGCTAATTGTTCTTGAATCTTCCTCGTCTCCTCATATACTTTGCAGAAAAACCAAGGTGTCTTCCAGGAATAAATTTCGTGAAACTATTAGGAGGTAAATGTACATCTCAGACAAGGTTGTGCTCAAATGTCTTCTGTTTGGTTACAGATCAAATGTCTTAAGAGTTAGAGAACTGTTAAAAAACAACACAGTTTACTGACACGACCCTCATGAATTTATGAGTTGCTTGCAGAAGATGAAGCCGCCTTTGATGTACTGTATTGTATAGCTTTCGAAATGGTTGATGCTCAGTGGCTCGCAGTGAATGCATCCTACATGCAGTTTAATGTAACTCTCTCGCTCTAAGCATGCACGTAAACAAACACGCACATTACCACAAGCATGCGCGCACAACTTTCTGATGTTCGAATTCCTCAGAAATCATGCCTAGCAATTTCAACACTTGTCAAATATTAGAAGAACGTATTTGATACCTAGAATTCTACTTAACAAGATATGCCCTTTAGTTAATGCTGGTTTATATTTGTTCACTCGTTTCTTATCTTATCTTTGATAGCACGTCTTCCTGGTAATTTCAAACTCTTAAACTATTAGAGTTGAGCATTCATTGCAACACAGCTTCTTGTTTAACTTAGGTCGAATTGACTTGTTTGTTCTGATGAGCTCTCCAATCATTAGCCCTTAATTTTCTGCTTTCAATCCTTCAGGAGGTTCTGCAAGCAACAAGGACGCAGTTGGAAAGGGAGTTGTCTTTAGAAGATACTCAAAGAATACATGATTTACCAGCTTACAATCTACTGTACCAGTAGCTAGCTTTAGAGGTAGTACAAAATCCCCTTGAAAACTTGCTTCAATGGTTGCTGGATAGGAATGAACAATGATGATCAAACCCAGATTGCAATGATTTGAGTATCTACAATTATTGTTGGAGAAATTTTGTAATGCTTCAAGCCGCGTAATAACTACGTTATCTTTCAAACTCCATTCACCCCACATCTAATGTTAAAGCGAAAATACAAACAAGTTTTATGAATACAACGAAGACCAACCTAATGTTACCGTTGTGTTTGTCAATGGGTTTTAAAAGGTTTGGATCTAATGGGTTTTAGGGTTTAAATAAATGGGTTTAGAGTTAATGGGCCGAATGCCCTAAAGGAAACAGCCCAAAAACCTTTAATTTAAATAGGAATAAAAATAAAACAAAACTAAAAAGAAATGGGCTTGGGCTTAGTGATCCGGCCCAAAGGCCTGGGTTTGGATTTCAGACTTGGGCTTGGGTAATTGGGTTGGAGCATGGGTTAATGGGTCGGGTTGATCCATTTTCAGGCCAAGGTTTTGGCCGGTTTCTGGGCAAACTTCAAACGCCCATAACTTCTTCGATACTCAACGAAATTGGGTGAAACAAAAAGGAAAGTTGTAGTACTCAGCGAGATGAAGAGATTAATACCTTGCACGATATCCAACTCACAGTGGTTTGGCCGGAAATTGCCTCCAAAGGGGCGGTGCTCCCGGAAAATTTGGAAAGGCTACTCCGAGTTATTTTCTGCGATTCAAATGTATACACAACTTAAAACAAGCTTCGATCTAACCCTAAAACACATCCCCAGGGTTTTTAGAAGTTTACCAACGTCGGAAAAATACGAAACACGATGGAGAAGATGATGAACAGTACCGGCCGAATGGAAGAGAGGGGTTTGGGGTGTTCTTTCTTCGTTTTTGAGAACACAAGGGTGAAGGTGATGATGTTTTGTTGTTGTTGTGGTGATTGATGATGAGGGAGATGAGGGTGTGCAGGGAGAGAGAGTCAAAGGGAGTGATAAGGAAGAGTGAGGAAGAAGAGAGAACTGAGAGAAAAGGGCGAGAGAGACCAGGGACACAAATCAGGCGTGAGCCTTGGCACACCGACTCAAAAATCATTTTAAAAGAAAAATATCCCTCAAATTTAGTCAAAATACAAAAATGTCATTTTTCTTTCGTAATTCTGGGAACGGTTGTTATACATTCAACACATTTCCAATTTTTAATTGATTCCTTCAATTTCAACTGCTACCTGCTACACCGACTAAGTACTACACTTTAACAAAAAGTTTCAACATTATACAGATTATATAATATTTAGTATTATTGATTAGAGTAACGTAATCCTTTAAGTATAAATTATCACATTGTTTCTTAAACAAATAGCAGTAAATTTGTTCGCTAGTTAGTGCATGTGCATTAGGAGGTTGACTAATCCACACATTCAAAACATTTCCAATTTTTAATTAATTCCTTCAACTTCAAATGCTACCTGCTACACTGACTAAGTACTACACTTTAACAAAATGTTTCAACATTATTCAGATTATAGTATTATTGACTAGAGTAACATAATCCTTTAAGTATAAATTATCACATTGTTTCTTAAACAAATAGCAGTAAATTTGTCGGGTAGTTAGTGCATGAGCATTAGGAGGTTGATTAATCCACACATTCAACACATTTTCAATTATTAATTGATTCCTTCAACTTCAACTGCTACTTACTACACCGATTGAGTACTACACTTTACCAAAAGGTTTCAACATTATTGATATTATATAATATTTAGTATTATTGATTAGAGTAATGTAACTCTTAAACAAATAGCAGTAAATTTGTTGGATGGTTAGTACATGTGCATTAGGAGGTTGATTAATCCACACATTCAACTTCAACTGCTACCTGCTACACCTATTGAGTACTACACTTTACCAAAAGGTTTCAACATCATTGAGATTATATAATATTCCCTTCTGTATATAACTCATGTAATTAGCACCACTTTCAAAATTACTCTATAGATTAAAATGCAGGAAGATCCAGAAATTGAGGCAAGCCTAAGAGGCCAAGCAGATATATGGAAGTACATGTTTGGTTTTGCTGATTCCATGGCCTTAAAATGTGCTGTGGAGCTACGCATAGCCGATATCATACACTCCCATAGACCTAGTGATGGTACCCCAAACTCAAACCCTATGATCGCTTTGTCCCAAATAGCCTCATGCATAGCACCCTCCCCAGACATCACTTACCTCACACGCATCATGAGACTTCTTGTCCACCGGAATATATTCGCCGTTCATCACCCATCTGATGGCGGGGAACCTCTTTATGGTTTGACAGATTCATCAAGATGGTTGTTACATGACGCAGAGCTGAGTCTAGCGCCTATGCTTGTGCTGCAGAATCACCCCTGCCTAATGGCGCCTTGGCACTATTTTAGCCGAAGAGTCAAAGAAGGAGGTCCATGTGCCTTTAAGATGGCCCATGGGCTTGATATTTGGGACTACGCTTCTCAAAATCCAGAGATCAACAAATTGTTCAATGATGGCATGGCCTGTTCTTCTAGGGTTGTGACAAAGGCAATATTCACAGGTTATGAACATGGGTTTGATGGTGTGGGATCGTTAGTGGATGTAGGTGGTGGGACTGGAAGTGCGGTGGCTGAGATTGTCAAGGCCTATCCCAACATCAAAGGTTTCAATTTTGATCTGCCCCATGTCGTAGCCACAGCACCGGTGTACCATGGCGTGTCACATGTAGCTGGTGATATGTTTGAGGGCAATATTCCAAATGCGGATGCAGTTTTCATGAAGGTAATTCTCTTTTACATTCCAGTTATGGTATGATTGTAGCCTTGTAGGTAAGGATTTCTTTCCTTTTGTCACCTTCAAGGGGACGATCTCGTAGTTTTTGGTTTGTGAAGAAACATTGTTGGTTAGACATAGTATTCTTGCCTAAAATTGAAATGACACTAATTAATTTTTTATTAATGTAGCATATTATGCACGATTGGAGTGACAGTGATTGCATCAAGATTTTGAAGAATTGCCGAAAAGCAATACCAGAGAAAAGTGGGAAGATCATTATTGTTGATGTAGTTCTAGAGCCAAATGGTGAAGGGACTCTGAATGACACACGATTGATTCTTGATTTAGTGATGATTGCACACGCGTCAGGTGGAAGGGAGAGAACTGAGATTGAATGGAAGAAGTTATTGGAAGAAGGAGGTTTCCCTCGCTACAAAGTCATCAAAATTCCAGCTTTTGCATCCATTGTTGAGGCCTACCCTATGTGAACTAAATTCCAGTATCATGCAAATGTTGTAGTTATTATGTATTGTCAATAAAACGATGCTCAATCGTAGTGATTCCAGCTGGCTTAAGCACTTGCTGTACTTCCATTAGAAACTAACATCATTCATTCGAATAATTGCATCAAACAATTTACTTACTGACAAACTCATGACTACTAATTAATTAAACTGGTTCAATCTTGATCATCCACTACTCTTCAAAATCCTTGGCTTCGTATGGAATCCTCAAAAACCCATCGTTGCAAAACCCTTATTCCTCAGCTGATCTATACAGCAGCTGCAAGAACTTTTCGTGAAGGAGCAACTTGGTATGAACCATGAAACGCTTCATATCACTATCCACACCAACACAAAAAGGGACGTAACCTTTCGGTGTTGTAGAAAGAGAACTTTTCAGTCTTTTCGCTCCTATTAACTGGCTTAACTTGCCGCTTCTTCTCACCCCCATTTAATGAAGGCAATCTTATCTTTTCTGAGAAAAAAATTCAGGTGTCGTACGTATTCTGATTTTCTGAGATTATTTGTGTAATTGTTGTTCATCGAATTTCTTAGATCCAAACTAAAATAATAACATCCCTTTCATATGCTTTCCTAATACATATGGATATATTGACTTCACGTTTCAGAATTGCTCCCCGATCCCGATCTATTTGAAAATAGTTATAATTCATTTATCATGTTTACACATACATAAGAGCTTATGTCCGAAGGAAGCCACATATTATATCATATTTTACTAAATAGATATCTGTCTTATGATCCAAGTATGATTTTGAATTGACCTATTTACTAAAATGTGCAATATTAAACAGTAATCTATTGTAGACTTAGTCATATTGATTAGAGTAATGTAATCCTTTATTGCACTTAAGTTTAAATCCTTCTGTCCGTAATAAAGATAAATTTAGTATAAATTATCACATTATTTCTTAAACAAATAAGAGTAAATTTGTCGGCTAGTTAGTGCATATGCTTTAGGAGGTTGATTAATCCACACATTCAACATATTTCCAATAATTAATTGATTCCTTCAACTTAACTGCTACCTACTACCTGCTACACCGACTGAGTACTACACTTTACCAAAAGGTTTCAACATTATTGAGATTGTATAATATTCCCTTCTTTATATAACTCATGTAATTAGCACCTCTTTCAAAAGTACTCTATATATTGAAATGCAGGAATCAACAGAAATTTAGGCAAGCCTAAGAGGCCAAGTAGATATATGGAAGTACATGTTTGGTTTTGCTAATTCCATGGCCTTAAAATGTGCTGTGGAGCTACGCATTGCCGATATCATACACTCCCATAGTCCTACTGATGGTGCCTCAAACTTAAAGCCTATGATCACTTTGTCCCAATTAGCCTCATCCATATCACCCTCTCCAGACATGACGTACCTCACACGCATCATGAGACTTCTTGTCCGCCGGAATATATTTGCCATTCGTCACCCATTTGATGGCGGGGAACCACTTTACGGGTTGACACACTCATCAAAATGGTTGTTACATGACACAGAGCTGAGCCTAGCCCCAATGATAATGAATTTTTAGTTGAGAGATCATTGCTCCAATTGAGTTAAAGTTAAGAAATCATTGCTAAAATTTAATCAAAGTATTACAGCTGACGTGATGATACAGTACTATCTAATGATTTCTTCATATGCTTTTGGGTTCATCGAAGAGGAGGAGGAAAAACTAAGGTAGAGAGAGAAAAGATAAATTTTAATTGCAACATTACTTGCTCCACCAATTGATTATTACACTTTACCAAAAGGTTTCAGCATTATTGAGATTATATAATATATTTTTTCCCTTATCCATATAACTCGTATACACTATTGAGACTATATACTATACGTTTCCCTTCTTTATATAACTCATGTAATTAGCACATCTTTTCAAAAGCACTCTATAGATGGAAATGCAGGAAGCAACAGAAGTTGAGGCAAGCCTAAGAGGCCAAGCAAATATACGGAAGTACATGTTTGGTTTTGTTGATTCCATGGCCTTAAAATGTGCTGTCGAGCTACGCATTGCCGATATCATACACTCCCATAGTCCTACTGATGGTGCCTCAAACTCAAAGCCTATGATCACTTTGTCCCAATTAGCCTCATCCATAGCACCCTCCCCAGACATGACATACCTCACACGCATCATGAGACTTCTTGTCCATCGGAATATATTTGCCATTCATCACCCATCTGATGGCGGGGAACCACTTTACGGGTTGACACACTCATCAAGATGGTTGTTACATAACGCAGAACTAAGCCTAGCCTCAATGCTTGTGATGGAGAATCACCCTTGCCTAATGGCCCCTTGGCACTATTTCGGCCAATGCGTCAAAGAAGGAGGTCCATATGCCTTTAAGATGGCCCATGGACTTGAGATTTGGGACTATGCGTCGCAAAATCCAGAGTTCAACAAATTGTTCAATGATGGTATGGCCTGTACTGCTAGGGTTGTGATGAAGGCAATACTCACAGGTTATGAACATGGGTTTGATGGTGTGGGATCGTTGGTGGATGTAGGTGGTGGGACTGGAAGTGCAGTGGCTGAGATTGTCAAGTCCTATCCCAACATCAAAGGTTTCAATTTTGATCTGCCCCATGTCGTAGCCACAGCACCGGTGTACCATGGTGTGTCACATGTAGGTGGTGATATGTTTGAGGGCAGTATTCCAAATGCTGATGCAGTTTTCATGAAGGTAAGTCACTATAAAATCTTTTACATTCGAGTTATATGGTTTGGTTGTAGCCTTGTAGGTATAAATTTCTTTCCTTTTGTCACCTTGAAAGGGGCGATCTCATAGCCCTTGGTTTTGAAGAAACGTTGTTAGTTAGATATAGTATTATTTGTTAAATTTGAAATGACAAACTAATTAACTTTTGATTAATGTAGTGGATTATGCACGATTGGAGTGACAGTGATTGCATCAAGATTTTAAAGAATTGTCGAAAAGCAATACCCGAAAAAAGTGGGAAGATCATTATTGTTGATATAGTTCTAGAGCCAAATGGTGAAGGGATTCTGGATGACACACGATTGGTCTTTGATTTATTGATGATTGCACACACGCCAGGTGGAAGAGAGAGGACTGAGACTGAATAGAAGAATATATTGGAAGAAGGAGGTTTCCCTCGCCACAAAGTCATCAAAATTCCAGCTTTAGCATCCATTGTTGAGGCTTACCCTATGTAAACTAAATTACGTTATCATGCAAATGTTTTAGATATTATGTAATGCCAATAAAACGCTGCTGAATCATAACGTCAATAAAACGGTGCTCAATCATAGCACTTCCATTATGAGGGGTTAGGTTTATATCCCTTAACTAGTGTAACTTCTTTTTCATTATCAATAAAATTACTTCGTACCATCGAGGTTTTCTTCATTAAAAAAAAAAAAAAAAAAAAAAAAACAGTTCCGTGGGACCCAACTGACTAGGTTTAACTTTTTTTTTGTTATCGATAAAATTACTTCGTACCATCGAGGTTTTCTTTAAAATAAAAAAATAAAAAAACACTTCCGTTGGACCCAACTAAGATCATTTATTCAAATAATTACATCATACATTACTTGCTGACAAACCCATGACAAATACTTAATTAAACTGGTTGAACCCTCACTACAAAAAAAATGGGCTATGGATACAAAATTGAGGACACAGATAAGGAGTTTGTGTCCCTTTGAACACTAAAAAGGTGGAACAGTGCACATTTTATAAAGGGCACCAAGTATTGTGCCCAAATGTTAAAAAAGTTGACACAAACACATTATTGGGCACGAAAATCAAGACTTTTGTGCCCAAATGTCCATCCAACTTTCACGTGTCCCTTCAATATCAGAAATGAAAATTTTATATTAATTTACAAAGACACGATAGCAGTTTTCGTGCCCTCTAATTTAATATATTTAAATAAAAAATATGTTTTTTTGGTGTCCTTTACATATTTACTTTTTCCTATTCCATAATAATAAGATTGTTTATTAATTTCAAACTGACACACTAATATTTTTGTGCTTTTGTTTTAAATAAAATAAAAATACCACCCTCAAATGTACATTTTGAATTATTTGCACTATATACTTTTTAGATTTCAAACGGCGCGTATAAAAATAATTGTGACTTTTGTGCAAAATAACAATAAAAAAATATGAAAAACTTGAAGATGAAAAAAGGTTATTAGTCTTCTCTCTCATCCCTTCATCCTGTCTCTTCCTTCCCCTTCACTCTCCTTTCCGTATCCTTCCTGTCCATATATTTCAGGCAACAGCGCCGCCTTCCACTTGTCACCACAGACCGTCAAATTATACCTTCATAATCCTCTTCCCATCATCTTTCCGATCCTCAAGTTAGCTTCTACAAATTCATAGCCAAATTTCTTCAATTTCAGATCTAAGAAACATATGATTTTGTTCGGGTTTTTTGTGTTTTGCAGGTATGAGAGCGGCGTACGGGACGGCGAAGAGAGAAGTAGCAGTGGCGAAGATGGCCTTCTTTCATCACCATCTGAAGAGGGAGACTTGAGGAGTTGTGGAGAAGGTTCTCCTATTATCCAAGGATCCAACTGTATGTTCACCCAGACCCTTATCTAAACTGTAGGATAAATGCATTTTTGAAAAAATATTAACTGCTGAAGTTAAACTTGCTTGATTGGTTAAGCATCTTTTGATTTTAATTGTATGTTGCATGATGTAAGAAGCTGGATATGTTTCTTTCCCCCTGCCCCACATGGAAGAATGATAGCCACTTCGTTTACCTTACTGTTGTGTAGGTTTCTTAGAAATAGATACATTTGCTCCGGAAACTAGTACTGCTGAAAAACTAAATTCAAACTTTTTCAGATGAAAGGCTTTGCAGCCCACAAAGCACCACATTTATTCAGTTAAATATTTCAGCTACCTCACCCGCTCTTAATCTGCAGTAATATTTTCATGTTGCAGGGACTGAAGAAGACAACTGGATAGAGGAACCTTCAGAGCATAATCAAGAGGATGGACTGGCTAGGTTTTTATTCTCTCTGTTCTGTGTGTTGTCATATGTGATTTGGTGCCGTATATGTACTAGCTTTCTATGTTTGCTATGCGTTTGTGATGTATGTGTTGCACTTGACAATGTTTCAGGGCTGTTGAATTGTTTACATTGGAATTAGTAAAACTTAAAACCAAAATGAAGTGCGCAACTCATAGGAAATCCTCTGAAATTTTGATCTCTGTTGCCGCGGAGGTACATATGCAGCTGCAAACCATTGAGTCTCAGATTCAAACAGACATGTAGGTACTTTCAACTGAGACGTTTGAGGTTTCCCTATTAATTTCAACAATCTCTAAGTTGTTTTGGATGATTTTCAGAGGAAAGCATACAAACCTCAGTAAATCAAAGAAAAAAAGGCTGGAAACAAGGTTTGAAGGTACTGAAAGTTGTATTTCTGATACTTTCAATTGATTATTATTATGTTTGGAATTAATTAATTTGAATCTAATAAGTAACTAATATTAAAATTATTTTTCCATCTCCAAATATTTATTTCCTTTCACTTTTCTGTTTAAGGGTGGTTGACAATTTTCTGACCAAGATGAACTGTACACACTCCCGTTGCACACAGATATGTTTATGACATGTGAAAAGAGTTATATTTAGATATCTTGATAATCACTTATTTCATTGATCATAATCACCCTTTCTTTAGTGGTTTCAATTATGTGATTATTTCCTCAAATTAAATTTGCTGGTTTTTCTGCAAAACTCGCCTGCATTGGGTGATTTTGCAAGTTTTACCAGGAAATTTGTTCCTTTTAACCCCTTAGTCGTGAGGTTGTTTGTTTGGCTATAAGACTATATGATATACCAATACCATAATAGGAAATAGGGCTCACTTGTTTTAATTTTACATGTTTTAAATTGCTTATGTTGAGAATATGAAGTCTGGCATCAAACATTATAGGCCTTTCATCGTAATATGTAAAATCCTAGGCCTCCCTATCCATTGGTAACTGGTTTTGGTTGGAAGCTCCAACTTAACATGGTATCAAAACGGCAATTCATCTTGTCCCATGTCCAATTTGGCCACATGTGCTCAACTTCACCTAATATGTTAAACCACTTGTTTGACCCAATTAGTTTGCACATGAGGGTTTGTGTTGAGAATAAAGAATCTCACATCGGACATTATAATTGTTGTATCACAATAATTTAATTTACTTTTATCCATTTATTGGCTATTGGTATTAGATTGGACGGTCTAGCTTTCAACATTTAATATATTGGAAATCCATGAGTTATACTGAGTTGAAATTTTTTCACACTCCATATTTTCTTCTTGGAGGGAGGGCTTTATGGATATCACAATGTATATAATCAATTTAGCCTGCATGTGTATAATCAATTTAGCCTGTGTGTGCCCGGAATTGGAATTTTTTCTCATTGAAGCTATGCCTGAAACCCCACCTTTTTTTTATGCAGAGCAACAAGAACAACTGAAGGTGATTTATGACAAGTTCAAGGAACAAGTCAATCAGCATCTTCAGGAATGCAGGAGCACACTTGAAGGGCTGGAAGTATACCAGACAGAGAGGACTCCATATTTCCCTCTTGCTTTGCTGTACTGGTCGTGTTACTTGATGGAACTGCGGCAGTGCTCTTCAGCTGCTGTGTTCTTCAATCATGATATGTTGCTTTTAATTTTTGGTGCAAAGCTTAAAGGAGATTGTGAAAAACTGCGCTCAGGTCCTCCCCAACGAAGCCGTCAATGGACTCCTCGCCCAAGGTCCTCCGCCTATTACTCTCTCCTCACTTTGTCTCTCTAAAATTTCAGATTTATTTCTCTAATTTTTTAACTTGAAGTTTTTGGTTGTTTCGATTTTAGGCCAAATGAAAAAAAAAAAAAAAAATTGGGCTGAGGCATAGTTGTATTAATGAATCCCTAATTCTAATAAATTCCAATTTCTCAACCCTAATATGATTTTGGTTCTGGGTACTTTCTCTCACTCTAGAAATTTGAGCAGCAAAGCACAAATCTTTGTGTTCTTCACTTCAGCCAGTTTCGTATTACAGGTACATCCACTTTCTATCCATTCTTTTTTTAGGTAAAGTGATTAGAGTTGTTTCGGTTATAATTGTGTTAAAAGTTTTAGTTAGGATTGAAATTATTGATTGCCCAGCTTTTGCTATGTGGAATTGGAGGTGGGCTTTGTGTTAAAAGTCAAGAATTTGTGTGCAATAATAGGGATTGAGTTACAAAGTTGTGTGCGGTGTGCATCAATTGGTGAATGAATTTGATTGGTTCTGTTTTTTGGGATTGAAATTTGAAACAAAATATTCATGCTTTTGTGGCTTACGTAGGTGAATGAATTTGATTGGTTTTGTGTGCCTACGCTGTTAAAGAAAAGCCGAAACCAAACCAAACGAAAAAGAAAATTAACAAGAGTGATCGAGCAATGATGAATAAACTTAACAGCGTCGGTGACCCTGAGCAACGTGAACTCGAATCATACGTACTGACCTTTTCTTTTTATGTTGAATTTTATTTTATTTTATTTATGATTTAGGGTCAGATTTGAATGGGGGAGTTGCTGCGATTATAGGAGAGCTTGATCATGGTGATGCAGGTACAAGAAAAATGGATGCTTGGGGTACTTGGCGGGGCCATTCAAAACAACCCAGTTCAGAAGCAGGCAATCATTTTTTTTCCCTCTCTATACGCGATGGCCACATCGAAACCCATCAACCACCAAAGCCACCCTGACCAGGTTGCCGACTCGAACATGAGAAAAAGAACTGTGCGGGTTCACTTAAAACCTTAATATTTGATGTTCTTATTCCTGAGAGAACCGATATTCACTTAAAACCTTTATAATTTTAGTTTTATTTTAGTTGGGGATAGAACATGTAAAATTCTAGTTGTTTTTATATACAATGGTTGTGAATATCTCTGTAAATTGTAATATTATAGATGCTTGTGGTTGTGGGATGTTTTAATTATATGAAAAAATAATTTTTTGTTTAGCCTCAATCTCAATTTGTAGGTGATTTCGGTTTTTAATATTTTTTTTAAATAGGTGACATATTGGGCACAATAATAATAAATGTGCTACCAGGGGTGGCTGCAGCCATCTGACAATTTTGTCAGAACTGGGCACAAAAAGACCTTTATTTGTGCTTACGTGTTTCAGCACAACATACATTATTGTGCCCTTTTAGCAATGGTGACGCCCATAGAGGGCACAGACTCTAAGATAGTAGCTGCACTGTTGCTATTGGTCTATGGACACATATGTTGGTGTTCTTTGGCCTCAAAGGGCACAGATAATTTATTGTGTGCAGTGACCATTTTTGTTGTAGTGCCTGTAAATATTAGGTTTGCGCATCTTGATCATCCAATACTCTTCAAAATCCTTGGCTTCGTATGGAATCCTCAAAACCCCATCACTGCAAAACCCATATTCCTCAGCTGATCTATTTAGGAGTTTCAAGAACTCTGCATGACGGAGCAACTTGGTATGAATCATGAAACGCTTAGTATCACCATCCACAAACAGGCACGTAAGTTCTTAACGCTTCGGAGTTGTAGAAGGAGAACTTTTCAGTCTTTTCGCTCCTATTAACTGGCTCAATTTACTGCTTCTTCTCACCCCCATTAGCAAATAGCAAAGCACTCTCTTCATCTGCAATTCTGGATTAGTACTTCAAAATTTTTTGGTAGCGATAAGTATAATTCATTTCGGTACTTACTTCCTCAGTACAAATTCAAATTTAAGGCCATGCTATCTTCGTATACTATCTACGTACCGATTAGATATTGGTTAGTTAACGATGTTTTTAAAGTCAATAACTTAATGATTGCGACATGCATCTTAATTTACATGTCATAAATAAAATGGTAAACTGCAAGGTACAAATAGTCTTTGTAATGACGCAATATGACATGACTACAAAGTTGAAAATAGATTTAAATATTTTATTTTTCCGGCTACTACTATTTTACTTTGTGATTGTCACATTATTCGTGTTTTAAATATGCCCTATTCACTACCACAAAATTTTACAATAGTTAATGACGTTAGTTGCACATAATGTAGTGTCTAATGTGGGTATTAGCCACCAGTATACTTTTCATACAGCTCATTAGTTACCAATAGATCTTTTATTCACCTCATTATGTGCAACGACGATAATTATTGCCAATTTTTCTAGTAATTAGAACATATTATGTCTCTGTCATTTGAGTTTACCTAAAACCTATGAATTCAATGAGATGACTTTAAATTCAACCTTGCCATCTAGGAATTTCGAAAGTTAGATAATAATCTTCCAAGGTGTATAATTATGTATTTAACTACAAGTGAATATAAATAATCGAGTCTGTTTCCTTTAATTTGTTCACATAAGCTACTTCCCTATCTTTGACCCATGGTTATAATTCTGGCTAGCTTGTGGCTGCACCATGAATGAATTACTTAAAAAAAAAAAAAAAATTGGTGCCGTACGCCATCGACCACTGCCTCGGCGACAATGCCTCCTTATTACCAGCAGCAGCTCAACCAGATCAGCATCATCATCATCATCTAAGCGACAACGTTCGCCGTTCTACTAATTCTTCGCATGTTTACTATTTTGCCCAGTAATAATACACAAGAATAGGAAGAGGATTATGCGGAAGCCACGAGGCTGCTTGAAGGATGAGAAATCGGGTTGAACCTAGCATCCTTTTTTTTTTTTTTTTTGGTCAAATGAAAACTTCATTAAAGACCCAAAAAGGGGGCAGCAAGTACAAATAAAGTCTATGATTGTCCAAAGGCAAAACCCAAAATAAAAAAGAGAGTGCAATCGATACAAACTAAGCAGCAGTAGTGAAATACAGCTTAGATAATCAAACAAATACTACTGAACATCATTCAGGTGAAACAAAAAAGGAAGAGGTTAATAGTGATTCCATTATCAAACATCAATTAAAAGATGATGGAGGACATGGAAGCCCATCCCGAGATAGCACTGTAACTAGTGAGGGAGGGGGCACAGTTGCCCATGAGAGATTATGTTTCCATAAACTAAGCCTAATCCTGAAGGTAATTTTTTCCAGTTACTTTAGTAAAATAATTAGTACAAAATAACTAGGACAACTCATAATTTGTGTGAAAATAATATCATGACAGGTCACAGTTTTAGTGAAAACTGAAAAGTTCAATCGATAAGTTTTAGCAAGATCTTTTAAGTGCCTTCTAAAAAAAAAGGTTATTAGGGATTCGGAAATGGTCGTACAATTCATTACGTGACATAAGTAATAAAAAGTTTATCTTGATTCTTGTACATTTTCTCAAAACCAATAAAAAAATGGTGACTTGTGGCTCATAATTTTTGTGAAAAGATAGATGGTTAAATTATAGTCAAATCTTTTGATCGTAGCAAGAAAAATATTGTTGTCTAGAGTAAATTTCATATCGAAAAATTAATAGACCTTACATGCACTTATATGAGTAAACCCAATAGTTGAGCACGCTTTATTGAGCCATATAAATATTCTTCACTAAAATTTTAACCTAAATAACAGAAAAATAATTCAAAATTACTAGTTCTGCCTCCGCTATGACTCAATAAATAATAAGAATCGGTAACAAATAACCTAGTTATAATTTTTCCTTACTACGAATGCAAAAGATCTTGCAAAAATTAGATAGATGATCTAGAAACTTATGTAAATCAATAAAATGATGCAGCACGAAGTTAACATGAGATACCAACGTAAGTCCTTAAAGAACAAATTCTAGAATCCACTAGATTTTGGTTGAAAATTTAAAATTTTGTTTGATTATTGATTGAAAGACGACATTACAATGAAGCCAACAGCTTTAACAACATAATCAAAATGCAAGCTCAAGGGCTTTAGGGAATCGAACGAAATCAAAACGATATTAATCGAATGGCAAAAGAAAAGTCCAATTTTTATTACAAAAATTAAAAAATTATTTTGGAAGCCTAGACGACCGCAGATGGCCGAAATCCATAGTATATCATAGCAAAGCAATGTGTTTGAACCGTAGAGTCGTTCTCTTTTCTGAGAAGTATCATGGGCCCAAATTGGAGCTTGGACGTCAAATTTGCAAATTCCTGCTGCGTTCTTTTGACTTCCTTGGGTCCATTGCGTCTTCTATCCTCTCAGCCATCTGTTTTATTTCATAAAATACTTATTTGACTTAATTTTATTCTCACGAATATATATATATATATGTATATGTGCGTGCGTGTGAACTTCAAATAAATATCTGGAGTGATCCTTTTGTGTGTGGTAGTAAAAGGACCAATAATCATACGTAGGACAGCAGAAAGAGGTTAGCAATACAAGAAAAAGACCCAAAAACAAAAAACAAAAGCCAAAACAAAAACAACTAAGCCTGCGCAATGCGCAATATTCCCATACACAACATGTTCTTAAAAGATTGCTTAATATATTTATAACTTCTTTGGGATAAACACACTAGAAGGGGACGTTGGACAAACCGGCCTGTAACAAGGCATTACCATCTCTACCTATATATATGGCTTTACACTCTCAACAAATCATCAACCAACACTAAACAGAGTTAGCTTCTTACTAAAACTAATTACAATCACATATAAAGCAATAATGGCTGTGATTGTCTCTAACAAAAAAGCAGCCATGTCCCGTAATTTGGTTCTCTTGTTCTGCCTTCTTCTCATCATCTCCTTTGCTGAGGGAAAACAACTAGGCAGCAGTAAGCTTTACAATATTAGAATTTTAATTATCTAGTTATAGACGATTATCTATTTCGGTTTGAATAAAATCAATGTTTTACTGAATTTCATTTTTTATGTATACGTTGGATACTAATACGTTGCCTTTTGTGTTTTAACGTTTCTTTTTTCTTTCTTTTGAATATTCGATTGTGTAGTTGGGTTTGGGGGCCTCAAAGCAGCTCCAAGAGCCCCAAGATGCCAAAAGGTATATGGGGCAAAACTTGGGGATACTTGCGATGGAATCATTCAGAAGTTCAAACTGAATGCTTCTCACTTCTCTGAAATCAACCCTAACCTCAACCGTGACAGTATCTTTGTGGGTCAATGGCTTTGCATTGTTGGCACTGCAAAATAAACTGCAGACTGAAGGAGGAAAGTTTGAGTTGAAGCACAGAATATAAATGCATGAATAAAAGAGCACCAACAACCATCAGTGTTCGTACCAAATTCCACTTTGCTTTAATAGTTTTTACATTGTTGTAAAATAAAAAAAAATAAAAAAAATCACATTGTTGAATCCTGGTGTTTATGCTGAATTTTTCCCTTTTGGTTTTTTTCTTTTAATAATTTTTAATACTAGATTTGTTGAAATGACGATATTATACTTCAATTTAAATTATATTAAAGAGAATTCATACTCGAGCGCTGCTAATATGGCTACACACATCTGTTAATTAAATATTATTGTTTCCCTTTAAATAAACTACGGGAATTTATACGTTTTACACGGGATTATTGATCTTCGTCTATTCATTCGATCCGACGGTCGAAAATTGAAAGTTGTGTGTAAGAGGAAGAAATGAGTGCATAGATAGCACAACTCTTTAGGAAATACAACATTCATTAAGAATAAATAAGTTAAAGATTTTTTTAATTGCACCTCTATTGATATTAACTTTTTAAAAATATAAAATTAGTTTGATCCCAATACTTTATAAAGATTTTACCTGTATATAATGAAGCGATTAAATACTTTGCATGCAATAAGTGATTTTGCTGTACAATTATATTGTTTAAATACAGTGGAATACTCGAAATAAACTCTGAAATTCTCAGTGCACTTAAGGGCAAAGTTTGATAACTTTCCTTGTGTGTGTTGATCATTGGCAAGGGTAGATGTGAGGAGGTTCGGTTCGGGTTGGTTCGGGTTGAGTCACAACCCGCTAATCAATTTATTAGGCTCGGGTAGCCTTTATCAAGGGTTTAAATATGCTGGGCTTAACCCACTAGCCATTTATCAATTCGTTAGGACCAAGTCCACACGCCAAATATAAGATCACAAAATCAAGGGCCAATTCAGGGAGTAATGTCTGCTACTATCGATCGCAAGATCAAGAGCCCATATCTTTTGGAAACCAAGATTTAATTATATAGTAGCTCTCAATCTATACGTACGATGCAAAAAATAAATAAATAACTCAACAATTATTTGGTTATTATGTAAAACTAGACACAAGAGAATAATAACGAAATAAATAAAAAATTCTATATTCCACATAGAGAATTGGATGTACAAGTTGTGATTTGCTATTCACCCAAAATTATTAGAGTGCTTTATTAACATGACTAGTTTAGGATGTACTTAATGCGACTTCACATATTAAACTCTGAAAAACATTTACGTACTTAATTTAGGATCAATTACACAATCAATCACTTTACTTATACAAGGCTTGTTATGAAGGTAGGAGTCATATATGGTGTATGTAATATACATGAAGTTTGAGACAGCAAATATATTGAAATACTCAACTTAATGGTTGTTGTTTTTAGCTCATGTGCTCTTAATATCGAAGGTCTTTTTTGACCAAAAAAAAAAAAAATATATATATATAAGGTCTTTTTTAACAAAAACAAAATATCGAAGGTCTTTGATTTGTAGCTAAAAAAATTAATCAGTAGGTATAATATACCACTTGGAGAAAATTTTACTCAAATACTTACAAAAAACACGGCAACTTATTCAGAAGGAAAGCATTTGTTTCTTGTTAGACTTTTTTTCTTCACATAAATGCTTATGTCGTTATTTTTTAAATTACAAATTTGAATAAGAATTCAGTGAACTAATAGAAAAAACAGAAGAAGAAGAAGAAGAAGACCAATGTCTAAGTGGGTTATCAGACTGAGTGAAGTATATGAAGTGCAATACAGCAAACCCATGACCCATCCATGATCAATGTCTCTAGACCCACAAAACCCAATGGCAAATGCTTGCCCATGCGTGGTGCAATTTTGATGTATGTTGGTAGTCGGACTCCAAAAGTCCTTGCTATTTATATCAGTTCATACACAACATGTTACAACATATGGTTAGTGGTTGCACTTTTAAGATTAAAATGATGTGACGTTTCTTTGTTTATAGATAAGGTAGAGAAATTTGGTTTTTCCCCACTTTTCAACCAAAGCCACAAGTGGATCACATAGTCGGTTGCACTCAAAAAGGACCTCTCAGATTTGTCAATGGGATTGTCTTTAGAAACCACTAACATTCTACATGTGCCATGTGTATATCTTAGTATATTTAAATATAATAATTGGCATTGGGGTTCCGATGGAATGGAAGCTAGAAGTGGGTTTATAATATATAATTTTATATGCAAAGAATTAGGTTCTGTGCTGTATGGATGACATGACATGGCCAAGAGATAAGTAATCGAGCACTAAAATCATCTTCAATCGAAGGGTCAAGAAGGCCAGAGGATCAAAAATAATCCTAAAATCGTTTTTAACCGAAGGTCAGATCAAAGGGCTCGTGGACTCCACTAGATAAAAAATGGCCAAAGGGCCAACTGGGCGGTCCAAATGAGCCAGCCAGCCAGTCGACCTGACCACATGTTGACGTCATATTTGATTTTTTTTTTTTTTTTACAATTTTTTTAACTGTTTTTTTTTAATTATTTATTTTATATTAAGTAACATGAAACAATATTAAATAACATTAAGCATTAAGTAACATTAAAGAACATAAAAAAATTTAACAACATGAAAATTATTGACAATCCATAACATAAAATTATTGAGGTAATTTAATTTAAGTAACCATAGTAATTCAATTAAAATAATAAATTATGTTTGGCCCCTTGGACCTTGGTTGGAGATGGTTTTTTTTGTGACAGTGCTATGTTTGGCTTGGCCCTCGGTTGGAGATGGTAAGAAATATGACAATGCACTGTTCATTAAAATATTAATTTCTTAGAGGAACAGAGGGTTAAAACGAGCCCTCTGGCCCTCCTTCTGTTGGAGATGGCCTAATGGGATTCAAACACACTCAAAACCCCTAAAATACTCCTAGAGTGAGTTCTTCGGTTCTTCCCCATCTCGAATGTTCAAAACCAATCCATGGAGTCAAGACTAACATTCATGCATTTTAATTGTGGTTGTGTGCACTAGGTTTACAAACTAAAGATTTTTTTTTTTTTTAAAATCATTCACAAAAGGATGTCAACGTAGATAAAATCGTAACATATGCCTTTAATTCATCGGTGCAAGGATGGGCTATTCCCTGTGTCATGCTAGTCATTATTGTCTTTAAGAGTTGAAAATCCAAGGGGGAGAGTGATAGTTTTCCAGCGTGCCAACGTTCCTTTAAAACTGTAGGCTAGTTAGCATGTTTTGACTCGATGCAATAGGCAATAGCTGCCAAGAGTCATGCCGCGCACCATTCTCATATCTGGTCCCATATATTACAAGGTAGAAAATAAAATGTTAGGGTTTTGTGCATAAGTAAATACTTTTAACGACTCAAACTAAAAGTTAGCATATAGAAATTTCACCCAAGCACCAAAAAGAGCTTTTGATGATAACACCTTGGATACTCTTAACTCCAAGCCCAAACAAATTCTTAAACCTCACCAAAAATGAATATCCCAATGATAATTCTTTGGTTAATGATTTTCACGTTCTTTATTTTTAGCAGTCTTTGAGCTAAATAAATCAAAAGATACTCGTTGAACACAATTAAATAAATGAGTGCAAAAAGTAGATAAATCTGCATGTCGATCAATTTTCTATATTTTGACACGAAGACACCCACCGTATCATTGTGCCACAAAGCAAAAAAAGAAAACGAAAGTTGAAAAATCTGCCTGTTGATCAATTTTCCATGTTTTGACACGATTACACCTACCATTTCACTGCACCACAATTAAAGCATGATTACTGGCAGAGTTATGCTGACTCTAATCCCAAATATAATATAACTTCGTGCAACCAATCTACTTAAAGCAAACAACTTATGTCTTATGCGGTGGTTCAATGGACGCGAGCACATAGAATGATATAGAATTGCACGAAGTCAAGGACTCTAGGCAACCTTTAAAGCCATAAAGTGTTTTGGTTGGTTGTTTGGTTTTGGCATTCCATGTTTCCAACTAACAAGATGAACTAGTCATATTACACAGAGCTACCCTAAACTAATAAAGCGAGGTTTTGGTTGATGCAAGAACCACCAAGGACACTTCTCTTCTCTATTTTTATAATTTTTATTGACATTATCCACAAAATCCCTCAATAGGCTTATCCTTCTAGTCGACATAAGCAATATCTCTCTACTTCTACAGACTCATCCTTTTTACTTTTCCTTTCTACCAACTTTTTCCAGAGAACAAGTCTAGGGGAGGATCGCAGCTCGCAGCAGTGTTCTCGTGTCATAGAATTCCTTCTCATCCAGTACATATCCTGAGCGCATCATTAGTATTATAAATAGAGTGGGATATACATAGTCGTATGCAACATTCTCTCCCAATTTGTTGACAACCCAATGTGGTCAAGAGAAATGACCGCACGTTAGGGGTAGGCCAATATTAAAGAAAGAGTAATGTTATTCATACCACATTTCTATATCATCTTATGTGACATCTGATGTTGACAGCCACATCATTTGAAAAATTTGCAAAACCCAAGGAAATGAATATAAGAGACTCCTCGTATACCACAATCATCATTTAATTAATTAGTTTTTTTTAATTATTAGTTTATTAAATAACGAACTAAATTTAAAATTCTGATTAATTCAAATGATGTCTCTGTCCACATCAAATACCACCTAAGATGGTATGAAAATGTAGTACAAAAACATAGGATAAATAGCATTACTCTAAGAGAAATATTAAAATAAAAAATTGCAAAAGCATAGGGCAATTTCCTCGTCTCCCCAAAGTTCCATAGACGGTCAAGAGAACATATAATAATTTACACAAACCACTACAAACTCATGATTCAAAGAGCCTCTCTCTAACCTCACCCGTCTCTACTACATACAAAGTCCCAACAAAAGGAGTCAAAGTCATTCATCACATACCCTCATCTGCTGACCTCAAACATGAGCTCAACACTAAAACACCCTAGCAAATAACCACAATCCTTAATCAGCCTCATCGGCTAATTAAACTCCAAAACAAAAGGTCAACGAAAACCAGATTATCCGAAAAGAGGAGTTCAGCGGTCCATCACTTTCACTTTCAAGTGGAGGAGTTCTTTTAAAACTTAAAGGTAGTGGCACTGGCCACGCCGAATAGCTGTGAAATAGTTGAAGTCATGGTGCTGGACCCTAAGCTGCTTTAGCCAAGAATCCGCCACGCTCAATAGCGACATGAGCCTCTCTCGGTCCTTTCCACAATTGCCTGATACCCACACATTTCCTTGCATCTTGTAAGTGGCCAAACCAAATGGAGGGAGAGAGATGCCTCCCCCTTTCTTACGCTTCTGTTGCTCGTTGTTCTCAATATCATCCTCAAGGTCCATGTCTACATAGAGTGCATATCAGGCATGTAAGTACATATCATGCATATACATAGCTATCGAAGAACTCAGATATTTATGATGAAAAAGGCTTGAGCATGGAAACAAAACTAAGCGAAATGGACTTGGAGAATACATACCTTGAAAAGAAGATGAAAGGGTGTGGTAAGTGAGGAAGGATGTGGACAGATCCTTTATAGTCCTTCCCATTGGAATGTGATAAATTGGATACCTGAAAATAATCACATCAACAAAGTTAAATAACTTTTGCTTTATCCTAATAAGGAAGCATGCTCGTCTGTGTAATCACGGTCATTTATAAGCAGTACTTATTCTCTACAACGTGTAATTATAACCGACGTCGGAGTGATTTTCCAAAAATGTTGCACATTCAGTGCTTTCACAAGCAACAAAACAATAAAGTTAAGTAGTATGCTCAAGCCAAATTGCACGCTTTACTCTGATTCTATTTTGGTAATTATTTGGGTGTCACATCACATGTTAAGGCATGAGAGAGAGAGATGTACCAAGCAACAGCCATCCAACTAGCTGGTGAGAGATCAACGCTCCTTAATGACATCAAGCCAGGGTATCTTTGAGCTAACGAATTGATCTGAAGGCATATAACGAACAAAGTGTCAATCAAACCGACATACTTTTAGTATGCGTATAACAATATGGAGTCTGAGAAACTAACAAGCATAAGTGGTCACGATCGTCCAAAAAATTAGAACCTCATATCTTGAAGCGTATTATATAATATTCTTCTTACAAAGAAAGAGTCAAAAAGATAAAAGAACAACCAAAACAAGAACAAATTCTCATGAAGAGAGATGGATTTCAACATATCATGGTCAAAAGTTTAGATACCTAAACAGGAGAAAGTAATCATGTGACTATAACAAACCTGTTAATTTATTACTACTACCAAGTTTAATCAGATAAGACACAAACCAAACCGGAAAAAAAAAAAAAAAAAAAAAATTAGAAAGGCACAAAGTAAGGGTTGCACAAGAGGAAAATGAACAACAGAAGGATACCTTATCCATGAGAGGAACTCTTCCATAGGGAGTTGATCTCTCAAAATACTCAAAATATAGGCACCCTAATCTATCATTCACATGCCAGAGATTGTCTTGCTCGAACCCGCCATCTTCCGAAGAGCATCCATCCCATCTCCACTTATCACTTTCACTCTCAAAGCTGCACGAATCGCTAAACGAATCCCTAGTCTCGCAGTCGCCTGATTCGGCCTCTTCCCTGAAAAATTCATTGGAATGTGATTCTGCCATTACAGCAACTTTACAAAGACAGTTACCCCTTTTTGCTAGTAAATTACACGAAATTACAATAAGTAAAACTGTATCCGATGGCGATGGGCATAGAATCACCATATCAAGGTAGTCCAACTAACCCATATCATAATCCTAGCATTTCGATTGTCTACAACAATTCACAACCAAAACTTATTTGATTCAATCTCGGTTTTAAGCCAATTCAAACCAGCATTTACAAATTCGATCACCGCAACAATCAGGTTGCGAAAATCAAGCAGACACAGCTACTACAAAGTACAGATGCAATTTAATTTCAACATTTTAACCCGAAAAGCGAAATTGCATGTGTGAGACCTGAAATATTGATACCTGAAGCTATTCACAGACGAATTGCTAGTGAAAATTTGGATAGCAGAGAGGTAAGGCACATAGTACTGCACAAGGGTCTCGCCCTGTCCATGGCGATCGGAACTCCGGCGCCATAAGCACTCCATTCATCATAGCAATTCCAGAGATCACTCAATGTGAAATACTCAACCTTTTCTCTCTCCCATGGATGCCATAGCCGATTGAGGTTCCTCATCTCAGACTGCAACACCAAACGTCCAAAAAAAAAAAAAAATCAGCGTACAAATTGATAAAAAAAAAATCATTCATTCAAAAACAACCCAGAAACAGAAAATCAGGCTGCATGCACAATCAGCTTGCAAATTGATGAAACAACCCTAAACAGTAAATTACAAACCTTGGGTAGGAATTGGGGTCGGAGCACTGGGGTTGTACAATGGAGGAAGCAGTCAAGGTTTGATTGCATTGACCCTTTGTCCAAAATCATTTCTTTTTCTTTCCTCTGCAATTCTAGAGAGAGAGAGAGGGGGGAGAGAGAAAATTTGAGTTTTTCGCTCACCCTGAATCAGAGAGAGAAAAAAATGTTTCTCTCACCCCAACCAGGAAAACAGAACGAGCCTTCTAAAAGAGAAAAAAACAGAGAGAGAGAAAGAGAGAAAGGAGAGGAGAGGAGAGAGAAAGCGAGAGAAATGGGAAAGAGAAGAGAGACTGAATGTCGGGATTAGATTTCCCTTGACAAGTGAGAGAAAAATGGGAAATGGGCCTACGAAAGAGTTCTATTTTTTAACGTTTGGACACAACAATTCACGGGCGAGTCTTCGCTTCTCTGTTTTTTCTCTTCACAGATAAGAGTCTTCGCTGGCAATGCTATCAATTCCCAACGGATTTCCGTTGGCCGGAGAATCAAATTCCGGTCAATCCTCCGGACACGGAATTCTCTCCCTGTTTTTTCGGGTTTTTGTAATCGTTTTTCTCTCTTCACCAACCTTAAAGAAAACTCAAGTCCCTTGATCACAGTCACGACAATTCAACGTTAAACCTTGAAGCTAAATCAATCCCACAAATCAAAATTATAAAAAACCCAGAAGAAAAAAACCTGCCTTTCAATCGAATTTTCCCGAGAAAATGACAGAAAAATTTTAGAAAACCAGAACAAAAAGAGCTGAAAACCAAGTTTTCTGCGCGAGAGATTTCTGGGTTTTTGTAGTTTGGCAACCAAAGACACGATTTTGTAACAGAACAGCGAGAAAATGATTCAACTTTCCCGGAAAAGCAGAGAAAGCAAAGGAAAAAAACAAACAGAGTGTGAGAGACGGAGGGAGGAAAGAAGGAATCAGAGAAAATAGCAACTGAGCTTTATGTTGTAGAAAGAGCGAGATTTTGTAGAGATAATGGATTTGGATACCAACAATAATTAAGGCATCAGAATACCAGATTTATTATTTATCAGACTCATCTGTCTCAATCAAAGGCCCCTCCCCCCTCTAAAAAGATGAACCATATAAATTTATGAATTTTCTTTCTTGTTGCTTATATTTTTAATTTCCGTGGATTTTTTTTTAATTTCCCTGGATATTATAATATCTTTAAGAGCATTTTCAATAAAAATGTTAAAAGATAAATGTCAAATGTTAATTTGATAGATAACGTAATAATGTCAGATTTTTTCTTTTTCCAACTAATGTGTTTTTTTATTATAAATGATATTTGTAAAGCTCATTTTAAAAATAAATCAATTAAAATAATTTCTCAAGATCTATAATTAATGCATTAATGAGAACTACACAATAAAATAATTAAAAATTATTGGGTAAATTACAGTTTACCACCTCAGGTTTGAGGTATATTACAACCTCATAGAACATCTTTAAAACACTGCACTTTCATACCTTACGTACTATTTTATTTCAATATAATACATCTGTTATATTTTCTATTTATTACCCCGTTAAGAGCTGACGTGACTACCACATTTATGTCACGTGGCTAAATAATTTAAATAATTAAAAAAAGAAGAAGAAAGAACCCAAAAACCCATTCCACCCCCCTCAACAACCCACCCATCTCCCTCTCCTCCACTTTTCACCTCACCTCCCATCCAAAAACCCACCCCCACTGCATGTTCTTCTTCTTCCGCCTTTGAGCGGTCCCTCACTCTCATAGGTCTCTCCTTCTTCTTCCTCCCTTCATCTCTCTCTCGCTCCGGCATCTTCTTCTCCACCTAAGAGGCTTGTTAACTAAAGACGGTGTTACGGAGGTCTTGAAATTGGGGTCCCAATGTTTAAACAGATTAAAGAACGAGAGGTGTCGGGGATGTAGAAAAAGGTATGTAGGCTAAAAATTATATTTGTTATTGATACATGAATGTGGAAAAATGGAAGAGAATGCAAATGGAAGAGAATGCTTATGGAAGAGAATGCAAATGGAAGAGAATGCTAATTTTTTCATTATCTTTCTCTACAAGATTACAAGGATATATATACATGATACAAATGTGTAGGTAGGACAAGGTAGGACGGCTAGTAGACAAGCTAGGACGGCTAGGAGACAAGCTAGGACGGCTAGTGACAAGCTAGGACGGCTAGTGACAAGCTAGGACGGTTAGTGACAAGCTAGGACGACTAGGAGACAAGCTAGGACGGCTTGACGGCTGTAGGACGGCTTATTCTTCCAATACTAATATTATATACAATTACACAAGGATTCCAACCATATTCCTTATTTGTCTAACAGGGGACGAATGTGCATAGGCCGTTGGAGCCTCTATGGCCCTCGAGGCTTACCATTGTCGAAAACGATGAGAACTTCGCCAAGGGAAGTCAAGTCCGAGACGGGGCTTTTCGATTCGAGGGCTTGGGGTTTGAAAATCACCAAGCACATACTTGTGTTTGTTCCACGAGAAACATTGGGTCATGGTGGTGGTCTGACATCGACGGAGAACGATGGTGTAGCCGTCGTTGGAGTCATCTGGGTGCGTAGGGAATCGTCGAAGAAGACAATGAACAGTGGGAGCAACCACTTGGGAGATGGGGATGGGGTGGGGCTTGCGGGGGAGGTGGGGGTGGGGTGGGTTTTTGGATGGGAGGGGAGCTAAAGAGTGGAGGAGAGGGAGGTGGGTCGCCGGGGGGAGGGGGGAGGGAATGGGTTTCTGGGTTCTTTCTTTCTTTTTTTTTTTCTTTTTTTTTTTAAAAAAAACTTTTTAAAATTATTTACATTATTTATTAATTGTTTAGTCACGTGGCACAAATGTGGCAGTCACGTCGGCTCTTAACTGAGCAATGGATGAAAAATGTAACGGATGTATTATATTAAAATAAAATAGTACGTGAGGTATTAAAATGAAATGTTTTGAAGATGTTGTATGAGATTGTGATAGATCTCAAACCTGATACGGTAAAGTGTAATTTACCCAAAATTATTTGACAGCACATTTTCTCATATGTCAAATTTGACATATGAAAACTCATATATCAATCCACATAAGATTGACATATGGGTTGGAGCTTGCTCCTACCTTCAAATTTCATTACATGACATTTCACTTAGGATTTGACATCTTCTTTAGACATGGTCTAAGAAATGTGATATCCACACACCCTTTTTACTTCTCAGACACCTTTCTATTCGATCGTCGGATCAGATGAATTAAATAAGATCAAAGGACAAAAATTAATAAAGGGTGTGTGAGAAGTAAAAATAAATGTGTAGATAGCATACCCTATCCTTAATACAATCCAATAGGAGAAGACAAGCTTTGGTATAAAGAAAATTTTATTTATTTTGACCTAAAGGTCATGAATTTGTGTCGTGATAACAACTCTTTGTAAAACAAAAAGTAAAATTGTGTATGATAAATGATCTCCTACCTTCGCAAAGCGCAAACCTTATTGGTTTGAGTCGCCCTTTAATTCAATACGAAATGCAGGCAGTAGAAGATTTTTTATTTTTATTTTTCTTTAACTGGATGAGACTTGGTCCATGGCTTGCTTGGTAAGTAGCATAATCGCCTTTGAATTCTTTATTTTCTTTTCAACACTATGCAATTATCATAACAAAAAATAAAATAATAAATAATAGGAAAAGGGGGATTTGAAAGGAAAAAACTCGTGCTTAATTTGGTTCATAATATTGCCAAATAATGTCGAAACTCTTTATCTTATTTTAACCGAAAATTAATATGTTTTTAACTGAAAAACAGTTTTTACCAGTAGAATTATGGATTTATTTTTTGGCTAAGATAAGATTATAAAATTCTTTATGAAAAAAAAAAAAACTCTTATTAGCACTCCAAAAATCTTATTATACACTCCTATGTATTTTTCCTTTCTAATTATAAAAAACTTAAAGTGCAAAATGAGATTTTTAGAGTGCTAATAACAATTCTAAAACAAAACAAAAAATCCCTCAAAAATTGAGCGGAGTAAAATTAATGCATTTATCTTCTTCCTTTTTTTTTCCCCACATAAATTAATGCACTTATCACTACACCACATTCAACAATAACTTATGAAGATTTCATTAATGGCCAATCTCAACCTGGGAGTTGTATTTGCGTTTTATTTTCTAGGAGTTTTAAAGCTAGTCACAAGAGGTTGTCCATGTTTCAATTTTTTTTAGGCGAAGCGGCAGTGTTTATTGATAAAATTAGGCAGTATTATAAAGGTAACGCTAAGGATATCAAATTTGGTAACTAAATTTGTAAATTAAATGATGTGTCATCAATAAAAATAAACACATTTATCAACGTGTCAATAATAAATTAATTATCAACTTTCATATATTTTAATTTTCAATACTTTTTCTGCAAATTTAATCTTCCTAATATTACTCTTATTATAACATTTAAAAAATTACATTCGAAAGTTTCTCAAACCAACAAAAATTAAAAGCTGACGACGAAGTCAACTTAAAACTTACAAAGCCAACTTAGCCATTTTATATTTTATTGTAGTGGCAAATCTACGAATGTGACAAACTAGGGATGACTCAATTTTTTTAGTGTCCTCTGCAATCAATCTCCTGGTGGGGGGGGGGGGGTGGTTGCATAGTGAAGGCTGGCAACAGACTGCACCACCACCAACGCATAACTCTCAAGAACCACCTTCTAATCTCACCTTTCTTTTTTTTTTTTTTAATTTTAACGAAAAATTCACAATATTATTTATTTTAACAAAAAAATTATATTTTTATATTAAAAAAATCAATCATGATACTATTTATTTTATCTTTTATTTTGTCATTATTATTAAAACTCAAAGTTTTCAAATTCTTTTTATTAGTTTTTTATTTTTTTTCTTTGTAAATATCTCACAATTTATTCTTATATACTTAAATTAGAGACTCCGCCATTTCCAACTTCTAAAATTATGGACCCAAAAAGTGCAAGTATTCTCTCTCTTTTAGCAAGAAAGTGCAGGCAATTTATCACCAGGTACATCTCATAGTTGCATCATTTTATTTTATGCCAATAAAATAAATAAAATAAAATAAATAATATATCATCGCATGTCCCCTAACACAATAAAAGAAATAAAATAGTCCAATCCTTCTACACTTTTCATATCATATTAAATTTATGTTTATGATGTCGACAAAAACGTATCATTTTTGTTTAGAATGTGAAGAAATTGACAAGAAAATATGGATTTTAGGCCTAGGAGATCAAGACTCAGAAAGCGAACCATACCTACTCCAATTGAATTAATTTGTAATTATTTTATTAATACTGTTTTTGTTCCATAGCTGCGGAACATTAACTAGTTAATTTCACTTATTAATAATATTATTTCCTATCATAATAATATTATTTCCTATCACAGTCAAAGTCATTGCTGCAAGGCAAACTAAGGTTCGAGGAGAAGAAGCAAATCTTGGCATTTGGGAAACCGCGTGAACGTAACAACACCACCACTGTCGCAAAATAATAGGTAAAATACGACGACGTAGAATGTCTGTAACTGCCCTTCCCGCTTTAATATACAGAAGCAATTAGCTTTGAGTATATTATTTAAAAACCAAAATTATTTTTGTCAGCAATTACTCAACACTCAACGGTATGAACAAGTAGATAGATATCCAGCACGACAGCGTTGATGTGGAGTGAGTTGATCTTGAGACTGAAAGTGAGAGTGGGTCCCTTCCAGTTTGACTAGTAGCTTGATGGCATTGTGTTTTGCAGGTGATAAGTCTGACAGTGATCTGTATGAACATGTAGAAGATCATATGCATCCGAATTTTATGCAGATAACACCACGAAAGATTAAGACACTTATTTAATCTTGAGTTTAGAAGACAAAGTTTTGGGGTGTGATGTGTCGTTTTGGCAACATGTTTCACGCTTTCTATGCTTCCTTTTTGAATAATAATAATAAAAAAAAAT